AAAAAAGCAGTTTATAATATTATATTAAATTATATTAGATAATAAGAGATTATCCTCTCTATATAGAGTAATATAAATATATAGAGGGGATAAAATAAATAGTAGTAATAGTTATAGTTATAGTTATAGCTATAGCTATAGATAGATATAGATATATAGTAAGAAGAGTATTTTAATCTGATCTAATTAAATCTAATAGTTATATTAGTACTATAGCTAGTAATATCTATATATATAATATATATAGCTTATAACTAATAAATCTAAATCTATCTATATAAGGAAGGGGGTTTAATAATTAGAGAGAGCTAGTAGTAAGAAAGATATATATTTTAATTTAGTCTAATTAAATCTTTAGTATATTAGATATAGTAATTATACTAGGTATTATACTACCTAAAATATTTAATCTAATTACTTTAATTATAACTTAGTATTTATTATTAGGTTTATTTTAATCTAATCTAATTAAAAGCTAGCTTTAGTATATAGAAGAAGTATAATAGCTATACTATAATAAGTAGTTATTTTAATCTAATCTAATTAAAAAATAACTAGGCTAAGTTTAGATTATATAGTTATATTAGGTATAGGGTAATCTTAATCCCTCTAATTAGAGTAGGAAAAAAGAGAGAGAGAAAGGGAAGAAGGGTATTTTAATTAAGCTCGGGTAAAAAAAGCAGGATAGATAGAGGCTCTAGGTATAGGCTGAGTTAGTATATACCCTAGAGGGTAGCAGATATTATTAGTAAGATCTATTTTAATTATTTAGTTATAAATATAATCTAGAATTATAAGAAAAGATATTTAAATTAGATCTATTTAAAATATTAAACAGTATAATTATTTAATTATTATACTAGGTTAGATAGTAAATATAATTTAGAATTATAAAAAGAGATATTTAGAGTAGATCTATCTAAAAATCTAGTTATATTACTCTATACTATATATTATTACTCTAGAGTTTATATTATATATTACTCTATATATTATTAGTAAGAATTAATAATATTTTATTATATTTAGAACTTTTTAATCTTAGAATTAAAGAAAACTAATAATATTTTATTATATTTAGTATTTCTTAACTTTAAAATTAAAAAAAAATACTTAATATTTTAATAATCTCTAATTTTCTTAATCTTAGTTTTAGATTTAATTATTTTAATTAAAAATATCTTAAGATTCTAGCTTTAATCTAATCCTTATAGTACAGTTTAGCTCTTAGTATATTAATAATCCCAGATATAGATAATTAGAGATATTACTTATTATAATAACAACCCGTGATTTGACCAAATATGCTCGTGACTACACTCCTTGGCAGCATGATACAGCAACCCTCCCTCGCTTCAATGTTACACTGGCAGCAACGTCGACACATAGGCTCCTTCCGTTCCTGGATCCAGTCCCGATCTCGAGACTGGTATAATGAGCTACGGATAAATAAGATTGCTAGCCCGACGTTACATTATTATACTTCAAATGCGAAAAATGTGATACTTAACAGTGCTTGGCTGCGTTAGGCACCAATCTGACGTAGGATGGTCGCAGTACAGCAACCCGGACAACACCCACTCCGGTTGGATAGACGTGATGCGACCCAGAATTTGGGAGGAGAAAGGGGGGGAGCTACTGGAGCTGTAGGCCGGCGAAGTCTCGCTTAGGTTTATATACCGCGCTCTTTGGCTTTCGACTGTTTCGTTTACCTGTAGTTTCTTTAGCAGGCCATGCACTTCATCATTGCTATTTATTGTCGCTCCGTCAGTGCCTGTTCCTTCTAGCATGAAAGTCTTCAATTTAGTAACCCTGTTTGTCGCTGGGGTAGCAGCTGTGTGAGTTACCCTTATACTTCCAGGTAGACTCAATCAAAGCTAATCCTAATTGAAACCACGCTGAAGATGGACTGCCAGGCCGGTTCAAGACCAGCCAACCTTTCCCCCGAATGGTTACAGTCATCCCGTCACTGCTCCCGAGCCCAACTCCACTTACGACTATGTGATTGTGGGCTCAGGAGCCGGCGGTTCACCACTCGCCGCCCGGCTTGCCATGGCTGGCTACAGTGTCCTTCTTCTTGATGCCGGTGAAGACCATGGGACTGACAGGCAAGTTCAAGTCCCAGCAGTGAATCCATACGCAAGCGAGTACAATCCCATCCGTTGGGACTACTTTGTCAACCATTTCGCAGACGAGGAGCAGGCCGTCAAAGACAGCAAGTTTACCTACCAGACGCCAGATGGAGATTACTGGGCGACTCTTGATCTGTCGGGCCAGCAACCACCCGAGGGCTCTGTGAAGAAGGGTATTCTATATCCGCGAGCTGGTGCGCTGGGCGGATGTAGCGTGCATAACGCCCTCATCATGGTCAAGGCTACGGACAAAGACTGGAATGGCATCGCTTCTCTGACTGGAGACAGCTCTTGGTCAGCCGACAACATGAACGGGTACTTCAAGAAGCTTGAGAAGAATGCGTACCTTCAGGGAATCGTCAATCCCGGCAGCCATGGCTTCGATGGCTGGCTTCCCACCCGGCTAACTCCCACCATTCTTATTGCACAGGATTTCAAAGTGCTCTCGCTGCTCATCGCTGCCGCGACTGCGACCGGAAAAGGACTGCTGGATGGACTCATTGGGACCATAGGGGGGATTCTATCAGTCCTCACCCTGGATATCAACACGGACTCGCCGACTCGTGATACCAAGGACTTGATATATCAGATTCCTGCATCCATGAACAAGGACTACGTCCGTACTGGGCCCCGAGACTTTGTCTTGGAGGTGGCCCTTGCAAAGAACGCGGATGGCGCTAGCAAGTACAAGCTCGACATTGCCCTCAACGCGCTCGTGACTAGAGTCAATTTTGATACCACTGGTGCAACTCCTAAGGCTACCGGTGTCGACTATCTTTTTGGCAAGAGCCTGTATCGGGCGGATCCCCGTGGCTCTTCGGATGATGGAGTTGCGGGTACTGTTCTCGCCAACAGAGAGGTGATTGTCTCTGCTGGCGCTTTCAACACCCCGCAGCTTCTGAAGCTTAGTGGGATTGGGCCTGCTCAGGAGTTGAAGGCATTGAACATTCCTGTTGTGAAGGAACTTCCTGGTACGAAAACGCTGTGGAACTCGTTGTGAACACAAACACTAACTGCTGTAATTCGCAGGCGTTGGTGGAAACCTGCAGGATAGGTACGAAGTCGGCATTGTCGGCGAAGCGAAAACCGACCTTGCCCTCCTTTCCGGCTGCACGTTCCTCCAAGGGGAGGACGCGTGCTACAACAAATGGAAGAATGGCTTGGGCGACCTCAAGGGCGCCTACACCACCAATGGCATCGCATGGGGCTACCTCCACCACTCGTCCGTCTCCGAGCACGACCCGGACTTGTTCATCGGTCCTGCGCCGGCCTACTTCAGCGGCTACTTCCCCGGATACTCGCTTCATGCCACGGCCGAGCACAACAAATGGACCTGGCTCGTCCTCAAGGCGCACAGCCGCAACAATGCCGGGACCGTGAACTTGACATCCGCCGACCCCCGCGATACTCCCCACATCAACTTCAACTCCTTCTCCAACGGCGGTGACAAGGACCTGCAGGCCATAGTCGAGGGGATGCAGTACGGCATCGACGCGTTCAAGAAACTAATCCCCCTTGACGGCTCGTTTGAGCGTATCTGGCCTCCCACCAACATTAGCACCCCCGAGCAGCTCAAGGAGTTTGCCCGTAACGAAGCTTGGGGCCATCATGCCTCCTGCACAGCCCCAATCGGGTCCAATGACGATCCAATGGCTGTTCTTGACAGTGAATTCCGCGTTCGGGGCGTGGATAGTATTCGAGTCGTTGATGCCTCCGTTTTCCCCAAGATTCCCGGCATGTACATTGCATTGCCCACATACATGATTAGTGAGAAGGCTGCTGATGTCATAATCAGAAGCGCCGCGGCCTCTGGATAAGCTGATGCACAGTGTTTGGGATTCCGGAGAAAGTCAATCGGTCTCAGACTGGAGAATTTGTCCGAAGCGAGACCTAGGAAGGGGAGTAATAAAGACTATATAAGCATACATATAATGAATACATAAGGATTAACTGGAAGTTTACTCTATCCAAGTGCCTGTGTCATGCTTGTCTTTATAGTTTTTGGAACTATGTCTAGGTAGTTGTGGTTGAGGTAGATTATTTTGATAAATCAAGTATAAAATGTTGAAGCAAACTGGTCACGACTCATGATAGTTGCTCAATGGCCTTATCCATTGAAAGTTCTAACTGATGATACTCGATTGTTCAATTTGTATTCAAGTGTCTTTTTAATTCCGAGCACTACTTTGTTTATATCACGATCACCTATATTCTCTCTCATTTGATTGATGAAAACAACTGATGAAAATACAAGCCATGATGAATCAACTGGTGACACTTGCCTCAGACCCACCGGTTTTTTTTAACTTGGCATAAGTTGAGGGCAGTATATTGTCAGAACTATAAGTAAATAACTATTTAAAGAAAGGTATAGCTAAGATCTATATCATCTGAAAATTTTAACTGCAGAAGACCACATGCTTGAATCCAAGATTAGGTGGTTACTTTAATCGAAAGGGGTGGGACCTATTCTATCCAGAATGTTAGTTATAATACATACAAATTTAAGATAGCACGAACTTAATCAGAATGGACTTAGTCTCTGTGAATTCATCAAGCGCATATTTTCCAAGCTCTCGTCCCCAACCGCTCTGTTTCGTGCCGCCAACGGGCGTATTGACACTTGGTAGAGGCCCGCTGTTAATGGAAACCGTGCCAGCCTTGATCTGATCTGCAATGCGCAGGGCCCGTTCAATGTCTTTCGTGAAAATGGATGCTAAGGGATAATTTGCTCCTTTTAGTTCATATGCTGGCCCATTCAAAGTTGAAGCACTTATTGCGCTGACTCACCAGCTAGGCCATACTCCGACTCATTAGCCCATCCAATGACTTGATCCTCATCCTTGAAAACTTTCACAGTCAGCACAGGGCCAAAGATCTCCTCCTTATAGATAGCTGCATCGTCTGAAGGTTCTAGGAAAACAGTGGGCTCAATCCAGAACCCCTTGTAATCCTTTGAGGCTCCACCAACGATCAGCTCAGCAGTCTCCTTGCCGGACTCGATGTAGAAAAGAATATTTCGAAACTGCTGCTCATCAGCCACGGGGGGGACACCCATGGGCCCGTCACCTGGGCCCATCTTTTCGGCGGCAGCGCGATATATTCCCTTTAAACCTTCGATAAACTGAGGGGCGATACTGTTGTGGATGTACAAGCGGCTTGTTGTAGCGCAGACTTGGCCGGCATTTACTAGAATTGCCGAGGAACACCTAGCATAGAAATTAGCCCAAGTGGCTTTTCGGGTGTAATCACAGTTAGGCGCCTTGCCATTTAAGAGCATTGTCAAAGTCAGCATCTGGAAACACAATAGCCGGGGACTTTCCCCCAAGTTCAAGTGTCACCTTCTTGAGATTACTCTTGGATGCAGCCTCTAGTATCTTACGGCCGGCAGAGCCTGACCCAGTGAACGTGATCTTGCGAATGTATGGATGCAGGGCAAGCGCTTTCCCCGTCTCAGCCGCTCCGCTCAGGAATTGTACTACTCCAGGAGGGAATCCAGCCGTAGGAATTAGTTTGGCGATACCTAAGAAACCCAGAGGAGACTTCTCCGATGATTTGAGAATAACTGTATTCCCTACCGCTAGAGCTGGAGCGGCCTTCCACGCGAAGGCCATCAAGGAGGCGTTCCAAGCGCATATGGCAGTGCAGACGCCGATCGGCTCATGCTTGACGATTTTCATTAAACCATCCTCCGGTGGGAAACTTTCACCCGAGAGCTTATCTGCCCAGCCAGCATAGTCTGTGACATGTCAGATGAGTATGTTCGTAGATCTTGGCTGTAAACTTGCAAAGGTGGCTCATGGACTCATGTGCAGGAGGTAGGGGCACTGACACCGAAACACGTCTACGGCATTCTTGATTACCATAGCTTGGCCCAGAACAGGAGAAGAGCCCATTGACAGGGATTCGAGACCAGCTAACTCAGCGCCGTTGGCTTCCATCAGGTCGGCAAGCTGCCACAGCAACTTGCCTCGTCTACTTCCGGACATAGTAGACCAGGGTCCATTCTCAAAGGCCTCTTTGGCTGCTACTACTGCCAATTCGACATCTTCTGCTCCTGCAACGTGGACATTAGATGTGACAACCTCGCCGGTCCTAGGATTGATAACGCGGAGGCGGTCCGCCGACTTGGATACCACAAACTGTATTCGACGACACCAACAGGTAAGATGAGGTAATATGACACAAACAGGGCTGGAACGAGGCTGGAAATATTCAACCCACCTCATTCGAGATAAAGAGCCGGGTCTCAAAGTCTTGGGGTAACGTAACCTTGGACATGTTGACAGGAAGTTTGAGCATGCTAGAAGAGAATGCTTAAGATGAGAATTCGATGAATCTGGGGCAGATTTTCTCAAATTTATCGCACGTCTTACTTCTTGCGAGGAAAACACGTTGTCTCCGAGTAGGCCGAGATAGTCGCTTCATCAACGGGAAGTAGGTAAACGACTGCCCTATCCGAATTAGGAAACACGAAGCATGGCCTCTGGTTGGTCAGAAGTAGTGGGTTTACATCATGTCACCTAACACACATCTAAGGGACAATGTAAAAGCCCGCTTTAGTTGGTAAATAATCCTTCCTGATAAGAAGTGTTCAGAGAGGAGCTAAGTCAAAAGAGGAATGCCCTGTGCCTGTCTAATAGGAGTCTTCGGATCAGCGTACTTAATTCATCATCGCTCGGAGCCCGCGGCCAACCATTACATCCACCCAGGTCACCACATCACCAGAGTCACCCCGTGCCCAGCACTCCTCAAGTAGCTGCAATGCCAGATCTACAGGTGGGGAAAGCGTTTTCTGAGATAGCATTTTCATAATGATGCGGATAAAGTCCCTGTCGCTGGCGGCTTGGGCGAATTGCCCGGCGGAGAAGATGGGTATTGCAGCCACGTGCCATAAACTGCAAGAAATTGGAATGGCTCGCAAATGTAGCATTACCCGGGTCACAAGAACACTGATTGGCTCGCTGATACCCGGAACCAGGGCCTTGATAAATTCTTCAGATTTCAAATTCGGGAAATAGTGAAGCAGCATCGCCCCGGTGGCGAGCCGATGTGCTTCCCCCATGTGCAGGCAATGAGAACGTGACTGGGTCTCTCCAGCACAGACTGTTATACAGGCGTCGGGGCTTCGGTGCTCTCGTAATTCCATTGAAAGAAGCTCCATAAATATGTCCTGTGCCGTTGATTGAAACTGTGTTGGGGCTTCTTGCTGCCTTGCTTGTGTAATAGCCCTGCCCGCGCGGCCTATCTGTCTGAAAAGGGCTTCCCATGCTACGTTTATGAGAAATGGATCCGCCGTGGCTTCCTGGGGGCGAATGGGGAAGCTTTGACTCTTGCAATCAAAGGTACTCGCTCCATCGGGATAATCATAAATGAAGCTAGCTTGGACTTCCATCCAAAACACGGTGTTTGTTACCACCGCTGGGACCGAATGGCCGAGATGCTGAAATTCGGAGAGAAGCGCTCTAGCTGCCTGAATATGGAGTGGGAGACTGCTGGTCATATCGAAAGAAGACTTTGGGCACATAGTCAGCACGGCTACATTGCTCTGGGGTGAGTGAAAATTTCACCTCAGTTAACCCCAGTAGAATGATGGTGTAAAGTACGGCGAGTTTTCCTTGTCGATTGTCAAGGTCTCGTTTCAGGAGTCGATATGCAGTTGCTCTATGAGTCAGTGCGAGCTGCAGGTATAATGTACTTTGTTTTGACAGCTGGAGGGCTGCAATAGACATGGCCGCAAACTGGAGAGAGCTACCATGAACCAAGACTTCCTGTAGGCCTTTCCCAAAGGGATTCTCTCTATCGTTGAAGGTACCCATGATAGGGGCAACCGATTCAAAATAACAAACAATAAGCCTCGTGTCCTCACTTGTAGGCGCAAGTGGGCTGATGTCGGGAGCGGGCGGGGGCAGACGGTCACTTCCAGATCCAGAAGGACCTCTTTGCTGTCTCGTTACTTTGGGTTGGTGAGCATTAATGACCCAGCGCAAGCGGCCTGTGCTGTAACCTGGGCAGACAATCCCCCGGAAAAGGCATTGAGAGCACCCCGGGCTAGACCTGTCGCAGTGTACCCGTCGCTTGCGGCAGTTTGCGCAACTGGAGCCTTATGGCGATGTCTTGTCAGTCACCAGTGGCAAGCACCGGTGTAGGACCACGCGGAAGCGAATGCCCGCAATACCGAAATGAACACTCACCAGGTGCGTTCCGGACGAATCTCGGCGGTAGATGGGTCATGGGTGTAGAGGATGTCGGTTCTTAGCACCAGCAATTCATGAGTTGATGTTGATGTGATTGGGAAGAACGCGAGGTGGGGAAAGGCCCTCAATTTGAAGGACATGGAGTTTTGAAGCCAACCATGTGGGCCCAAACTCGCTCGGTGTTATCTGGGAACTTCTCCATGCCTTGGAGACATACATTTCAATATCTCGCGACTAAACTAGTGGCTGTAGTCTTCTCACCCATGGATTTAATAATACAAGGTCGAGATCGGATATTATACATACTGTTAAGATGTGTCTCTTGTGGTCCGCGCCCGCCGTGAGTAGCTTATCATCGATCAGCATGAGCACTCTGGGACCAGGAGGCTCCGCGTCAATTCAGAAAGAAATATTGTAATGCTCTGACCTACTTATCGCACCGTCCTTCCCAGCCGTTCCCAGTCAAGGAAATCTCGTTTTTGTAGAAAGTACAGCACGGTATGCCCTCTAAGCTACATTACCAGTTGTTGATAACGGCTCGTGCCGCCTGCCGGCCCTGCTCAACAGCGCCATCTATGTAACCCACCCATCCATCTGCATAGTCTGAACTGGCGAGAATCAGGCTATCGCTGAATTTCCTACCTTCCATCAAATCCCCAAGAGGCCCAGAAAGGGCCCCAGGCCCGTACACAGCCCAAGCTCCCTTGGAAAACTCATCATGGCGCCAATCATGCCAGAGGTATTCATCGATATCTCCTATTTGAGTTCCGCCGGCGGTCAAATCCCGCAACGCTTCCTCCAAAATCTCCAACTGGGAGCGGTCCACATTCTCCTCCCGACTGCTTTTGAAGAAGACCATATTTGTGCCTCCGGTACTGGAGCGAGACTCGGCAACACCGAAACATGCAACCTTTGATGGACCATCAACCCCAAAGAACCTAGTAGAACCATCAGCGGAATGGGCGTGTAGCTTTCCACCAAGATTCACGTGCTTGATTGAGGTGTACGAAGGCGGAAGGGGTGGTGAGAATTCAATGTCCGCAAGGCAGTTAATGGGGACAGTACAGATGACTCTATCCGCACTAAAGATTTCGCCATCCTCGACATAGACTTGCGCCCTCGAGGAGCCAGAGACAATAGATTTGACTTTGCGATTGAAGAGTGCTGAGCCATTGAATTCCGAAAACATGGCGTTGGCCAAAGCAGTTGTCCCCCCGGGAATCTTAAACACTCCGCTTAGCTCAAGCAAGCGCTGGAAGTCATACCCAGAGAGCGCGTAAAGGCGAAGAAGGCTGAGAAAGCCAAGTTTGTGTGCCTCTTGAAGGCCAACGGTGCCCATCCAAAATGCGAGGAGATCCTTTTCAGTGGCAGATAGGTTAAGCTGGTCGATACGTTCTCGAACACTGATATCCCACTCCCTGATGCCTTTGCGATTATACAGTGGTAGATGTGGCTGAGGCAGAACTAGACGACCGTTATAGCCATCAACATTGAAGAATGTTGCGGCTAAATGCAGGAACGAGTCATCCGCCCCTCGCATAGTTTGTTTGACGCCGCCCACATTCATGGACGTGTCTCGTCCCAACTTGAAGCTTGTCTTGGGTGTCGTAAGCCCGTAGCGAGCCATTTCAGTCCACGTGTTCGGTTGAAGGTGATGAACCCATCCACCCCCCATCTCATAATTGTCATGTTTGCCTTGGGCAAGCCAAGTACGGCCGCCGACACGGTCACGAGCTTCAAGAATGAGGATGCTGAGGCCATGAAGTGAAATATCCCGAGCAGCAGTCAAACCGGTGAACCCAGCGCCAATCACGATAACGTCGTAAGAGCTCTTGACGTCATTGCTATCAGACTTCACTGCATCAGTTGGTAATCCTTTCATAGCAGTATTCTTTTCGAAGTTCCAAAAGTAGCCTTCTTTGGACTGGGGAACCATAGTGAAGATTTTGAGAGAATAGAGTCAATAAAAATAAGATGATAGTAAAGTTAAGGTATAGTAGGGGTCTGGGATTTGGTTTGTAAGGTGCATGGGGTAAAGAAACTTCCAGTTCAAAAAAATATTGATGGAATCGTATGGATTTATATCCGCTATATGCTGGCTTTTTCTTGATAAACAAAGTTGTGGCTAGACTCTGACGGAGTCCGAAAACCCCGCAGCCAGATATATATCCCTTTGCCTACATACTTACTTATACTTATATTAGACTTCATCACTCCACAGAAACACCGAGATGGTTGTCGCCCGAAACTCCGAATGTCGCCGATCTAGAATGTTATGAGATTGTAGGGTAGGTCGCCTTATGCAGAGCCCTTGTGGGGCTTATCTTGGCAAGACGTTAAAAAGGTGACTGTTCTACGGTAGACAGCCTGGCCTAGCCGGTAGCCCGCGGCCTCCGTTTGATAGGGATATGGCTAATTTCCCAGATCAGGATGCCGGTCCCCCTAAAGATTATGGCGATCCCGATTTCGAAAGGCCAATAAGAGGCAGCGCTTCGTTTTACCCAATTTAGCTAGTGCTCAATACCAGCCTTTAGTGAACTGTCTAGTCTTACAGATAAGCTCTATCATTAGTGAGAACTGCTTGTGCCGCCTCCAAGCTATACACCACATGTATCGAGTGAAAATAACACGAAAAGTTTTGAAATTGCACATCTTGAAAACCTATTCTCTTCAACGGCTATATCATTTTAAAATACTTTATCGTCAAGATCTTCTCGTTGTTAGCATTGATACAGCTTATCCGACATTACCTATTCAGAGACTTACAGAATGTCAGATCTTCACCATACGCCTCCCGCTTGGACGTACCATTACCCATGAACTTAAATGTGTTTGCCTAGAATGATTTAGCCAAGGTCGTCGCATACGAGCTCTATGCCTCGCTGGCACTCACATTCATATACTGCAGCTCGTAGTCCTCCCACCTCGGAGTCTGCAGCATCTCCATGAAGTGAATGCTCGAACCCGGCCAGACGGCGGTCACTCGCCCTGTAAGTCGATCCTTGTCTGTACACAGTTGTGAGAAGTGCTCGTGATATCGTTGTAGTCAGGTATGTCGTAAGTTAAAACACTCACACCAACTATTACAGGCGCCAGTCCAGACTAGGCCCTGATGTACTTCCTGCACGTAGTCATTGAAAGCATCCTGAATGGTCTGCTTGACTTCCATAGACCTGATCTGATCCTTTTGCATTTTTACAATGGCTTGCATAACATAGTCCACGCTAAATGGCTTTATCAGTCATCCTGGGCTTAGACGCTTCTTCCGACTGGTTGTCTACTCACCTGGATTCTATACAGGGAATCAGTGAGCCATTGGCAATCGGACAATTTGGCCCCAAGATAACTTTTTAAGTCAGTGATCTAGGCTTCCTATAATGTAGATATCTTCATACCAAAGTAGTTGGGCAGCCCTGCCACCGCTGTGCCCAGATAGGCCTCTGGACCCTTGGACTCCCATCGTTTACTGAGAGTGATGCCGCCTCTACCAGTGATCTCGTACCGGTTAAAGGATGTGTCAAAGCCGGTGGCACATATGATGACATCTGCCTTGTGCAATTGGCCGTCGTCTGTAAAAATGCCATCCCTAGCGATCTGAGTGATTCCAGACCTGACGATGTCGACATTTTGCTCCTGGACGGCGTTTAGGTAAGGCAGGCCAGGTGTGATTCGCCTGCAGCCCAGCTCCCAGCTGTACAATCCAAAGTTAGATCCGGGTGATGTGACGGACTGAAATTAGTAGTCCAAGGCTTTGAATACACATACTTTGGGACCAGCTTCTCTTGCAACTCAGGTGACTTGATAGCCTCCTTCATCTTGGTTTCGGCCCACTAGGACATATAAGTATAGAAAAAATCGGAGATAGCTGGAAACTAACCAATTGACCTTCAGTCTGGTTTTTCGATAATTTGATGCTGCCGGCAAAGTTCTCATTCATTTGTTGTTCGATTTTCTTTCTGAACGCCTGGTAGTACGCGGGATCAGTTGTAAATCTCTCGATTTGCGAAGCCGTGTCTGTTGAGAATGTGTCAGCAGCGATTTGCCTCACTCAACAAGTATCACTTACAAATCTCGTTGTAGGTGGACGATTCAACTCCGAAACCCACGGTTGGCAGGATGTAAGTTGGGCTTCGGACAAATACGTCGAGTTTTGCGCAAACTGGCTGTATGCTGGGTACAGCCTGGATGCTGCTCGCCCCACTGCCGATAATTGCCACGCTCTTGTCCTTGAGCTCAATGCTCTGATCCTGCATGGAAATAGAGAGTGCAACGGTTAGTGTTGGTAGAGGGTAGTGATAGTTGCAAACCAATGATGGCTTACCCAAGCTGCAGTGTGAACCAGCTGTCCTTGGAAATTATTTAGGCCCTTAATATCAGGCCATTTCCAATTATTTAGAATGCCACCAGCATTGATGAAGATGTCAGCCTCATGAACAGTGCTTTGCAGATCTGCATCATTAGAATCGCCTAGTTTACTAGCGATTGTGATCCTCCACTTGGAGGTTCTCTCATCCCACAAAGCACTGACCGCCCGCGAGTCGAAAGAGATATGCGGGTGGAGGTCGTGCTTTTTAGCAACTGAGATGAAGTATTCTCCTATCTCCTCAGCGGGAGCGAAGCTGAAGAAAGATTTGTGAGTATGATGATTTTGTTCTTCGTGCTTATCTGTCGTTGTATGATGCTCACTGTCTTGTCCAGTTCTTCTTTGACTCGAAGGTATACTGGTATGCGTGACTTGCAATATCGCAGGCGGCTCCCGGATAGCGAGTCTCCAGCCACGTACCGCCAACATCTGCATTCTTCTCAAAGCATTGGAAAGAGACATGGGACAGTTCTTTGAGTCGTATCAATGTAGCAATTCCAGACGGCCCTGCACCTACGACAATAACATGAAGTGGCCTCTGTGATGGGTCGTGTAGGTGATGTTGTGGGTTGACTGCTTCACCGAGTAAATTTTGCTCAGCTTGTGGCACATTAACCGCAGATTGGCCATTCACTGCCATGGTGCTAGCTACAAACTAGTGGTAGTGGTGGACATTAGTTGTGCGACTCTCACGGTTTCAGGATAGTGAACAAAGGTAGATGTAGTTTTTGATGTTAAGTATAATTGTATTGGATGTGTGAGCTGAGGAGAAAGAGGTCCCCCAGAGCCACACAAATTGCGGGGTGAGGAACTAGACTCGGGGCTTCGGGACTAACGTGTGTGCGTGGTGTTGAGTTTGTGAGCTAAGATGGTGGGCAACCTGACTCAACGGCACGAGTCAGCCTGGACGCGATCTTCTAGATACATGTATCCATAACCGAATCCACCCTCATACCCGGGGAGCGGCGTCAGACCATGTGCCCTCATATCTCGCAATGCAGGGGTTTTCAGAAATCGAAGAGAGTACTTGACTTGGGCATCATTGACACAGGAGAGCCCTTTTCCTGTAGGTACTGCACCCGCTTGCAGATAAAATCGTCCAAGGTTTCTGGGTGTGTCGTGATCCAGAATTTCCCACTCACAATTTGCTCCATAATCAGCTTGCCAGCCTCTCCAACATCCATCCCGTTGGTGTCTGCAAGCTGACTCAGGTACTTGCGATATGCTTGGAGCTGACTCTGGCCGGTTTCATGCGAGTCTCTGTTGTGGCGAAAAATTCCAGTACGTAGCAGCCCGGGAAGTACGAGGGATACGTGAATGGGCGAGTGTTGGAGCTGCATCTCCGCAAAGAGCCCCTCGGTGAAAGCTTGAATAGCGGCCTTGGTCATAATGTATGCTGTCTGGGCCGGTACGACGCCCATTGCACCTACGCTCCCCACATTGGCAACCCAGCTTTCCTCCCCAGACGCAATCATGCGGGGTAGAAAAGCTCGCACACTGCTGACGACACCCTGAATGTTCACGTCGATGGTGGCTGCCCATCGCTCAGGCGGGATATCCTAGGGAAGGCCAAGGGTCTCGATTCCGGCGTTGTTGATTAGAAGACTGACCGAGCCGTGCTTCTGGTAGACTGATTCTGCAAGCTTATCGACCTCTGTGGGCACGGAGACGTCGGTCTTGATATATTCGGCGGCGCCACCACTCCTCGTGATCTGGCTCACAGTTTGCTGCGCAGCCTTAGTATCAATATCAACGACAATCACTCTCATCCCCAGTGATGCTGTTTCAAGAGCGAGAGAAGCACCCAGTCCGGCAGCACCGCCTGTAATAACCGCATTGCGACCCCGCAACTGGCGAAGAACTGGGCTATTCATGGCGTGGGAAGGGCTCAAGTCGATGGTTACAAATTGCGAGTTACAGTAATGTGATTAGTAGCGGTCATGGGGTTTGTATATATAATTGACTACGCCACTGGCTGCTAGTACTGGATAATGAGTCAACACAAAGGCGCGGCTTGACAAAACCTGCGTCTTCATGTCATCGGGATTCGGACCTTTCTCGTCCAAAGTCTGCTTCAGTTTCAGAGGACTGGGACTATTTACTATCACAGTTCTAATCTACCCACATCCTCGCCCGTGGCTTGCTTGATAGCGTAGGAAACTACATCTAATGTGTCCGTAGGGATGTAGACATCTGCCGAGGAACCCATGACCTTGTCCCAGTTGGCCAGGTAGCCTTCAGAGGATGACTCACCGACATGACCAGGAACTGTTGCCATCACGACCCTTGCAGCTCGCCCGCCGCCAACACTGAAGAGCTCGCCAGAGACTGGGCACTGCTCGCTGGCTAGAGCAACAACAAAGTCAGCCACCAGTTCTGGCTTGTAGAACTGCCGAGTGATGCGCTTGATGACCTCTGAGAGGTCGGACATTCGAGAGGCGGCAGAGGGCATGACTCCGTTGATTTTGATGCCATGCTTAGGGCTCATACGCCCAATGTCTCTCGTGAGACCAAAGACAGCTCCCTTGCTTGACGTGTAGCCACCGTCTCCTCCGGCGCCCATTCCAAAGAGGCTATCCGACCCCGTTGTGATGATGCGTCCGTACCCATTTTTCTCCATAGTAGGATAGACGGCACTGATAAGCATGATGGTTCCAAGGGCAGCAATCTCCCACGTCCGGCGGAAGGAAGCCACATTGACGTTGTCGTGGCTACTGATTGAACCTGCAGTGCCTGCATTGTTGACCAATATGTCCACCGTTCCATAACTGTCCAAGGTCGCCTGAACGAGGGCCTTGACCTCGTCCTGGATGGAGATATCATGGCCGTCGGCGATAGCCTCGCCACCTGCCGCCTTGATTTCGTCAACGACACCCTGTGCACGGGAGACTGTGCCTCGTTCTCCGCTGAGAGAACCGCCGTAGTCATTCACGACGACTCGCGCCCCGTATGCTGCGAGTAGCAAGGCGTACTCGCGACCAAGACCTCCTCCTGCGCCCGTAATGATGGCAACACGGCCGTTGAGGCTTGTTAACTTGGGAGCCATTTTCTCAGAGCTATGCGATAATACTCCTTGTCCCTTGATCAAGCGGCAGAAGAGGCAGCGGTGGTATAGAGAAAGAGTGCAGGTCCGTGTCTCGGTGTGATAAACCCTCGGCTAGCGCAACAATAGCTTCCACCGAGGAGATCCTCAAGTAGGCGATATATAATCGTTGGATAATTCCAAGTCCTAATCACTGAGTATTTTACAGTTCGCGTCAATATCTTTCCATCTACGGATCCACCTTGGGGAATCTAGGATGCGGGGGACGGCGAGCTGACTCGGCGTGGGATGTCATTCTGTTCCAATCCTTGGCATGTAGTAGGCTGGGAGCCGAGCAGCCGAGCAACAAGTAGACGGGTATTTGGACTAAACTATCTGAGGAAATCCGTCTTGATTATTCTTGCTACCAGTATTATACACATTGGTAGCAGGCCAGTTCAGTTTCCAATGCATCGGAATTCGCTGGCAACTTCGATCCAAAATTGGCGTTTTGCCTTAGTGCTACGGCTCCTAAGGAGTAAGTTGACTCGATGCCCACGGAGTGCTCGATTAGCTCAACTTTGTTGCTCACGCGAATCCATTCCACATAGTCTATGTTGTGCCTCGGGTTAAGGTCGAGCATTGGCTTGCTCGATTGTTCGGTCAGACTTGCCCAGACTTGCCCCATATCATAGCAAATGGGTCAATCAGATGGTAGGAAACACATATGCCGACGGAGTGGAGAAGGCTAATCCTGCATAGGATGGCAAGGTGGCTATCCATACCGCAGTTTCGAGCTGTGACCGGTCCGCCAGTTCCGTCAAGTACACATCTATTGTCGTGTAATACACTGGAAGAGCTAGAGGCCTCGATTGAAGTGGTAAGTCTTCCGGGACTCGTGAAAGGAGACATGACTTAATGTCTTCGTAATCTAGGTCCAGCATTCATCTTTTCGGGCCATCTTCACTCCTAAGTTGAAAGGCTCAACCCATTTGATCATGTACGTGCATGGGGGTGGCTTCACCTCAGGCTCTCCAGAAGCCACATCCGCATACGCTCTTCAACTCAGTGTTGAGTTGCAGCAATGCGGGATTATTGCAGATATACTTTCTGTAGGCTATGATCTTGCTCCAGAGAGACCATATCCTGGCGGCCTAACACAAATTGTTGCTGCATTCGAGTACTTGGTAGCCTTTGAAAAACCAATTATCTTGATGGGAGATTCAGCTGGAGGAAACCTTTGTCTGGCATTGTTACGACATCTCCATGAACCCCATTCCGACATCCGAGCCATATCGCAGAACGCAAAAAGTGCCATCATTGCGCTGTGCCTGACGTGTCCTTGGGTCAACTTAAGAAACGACCAGCAACCGCCGCAGTTACTTGGTGGGGTGGACTGTCTGGACAAACCAACCCTTGACCGTTGGCGCAGTGCGTACATGGGCGGAAAGCCCCTCGACAGGTACACTAATCCCATAGAATACACAGAGGGGTGGAAGGAGATCTTGCCACCCAAGGTTCTGTTTATGACTGGAGAGCTCGATCATTTCAGTCGGGATATTGTGCAATTCGTTGATATAGTGCGAAAGGTAGGGAGCGAGTAGGTGTAGCCCAATGCAAAACTATGGTAGCTAACACTCAATCAGGCCGGCCACATAGGAGTAGACTTGGATGTCGCACCATTGAAAGGACATGCTTGGAACCTGGTGGACTTTGGTGCAGCCAAGGTTGGCATACCATGCAGTCTTATTGATGGCGATGTTGCGTCTTACAACGGTGTCATGATCCAAAGCCAATGGATTGCTCAACATGTAAATAACATGTAAATAAATACGAGGCTATACTTTACCAGGAAGAAAAAGAACTTATGTTATATTTTACGATTCCGCACAGCGTTGATGGAAGGAATTCTCACTCCTGTGGCGAGGGCTGGTTATGGTTGGCCTTTGGAAGCTCTATAAAGGTAGCCATATAACATGGCAAGTTAAGACAATGTAGTGATGTATGCCGAACAATTACAAGTCAAGTCTTGGTTCCAAAGCTGTATAATGATTCGATGAGAATGTGAGGACCTTTAAGGCTTTCAAGATATGTGTACTACAGAGGGCAACGTCTGGTGGCTAGTTCATCTTGGTCTTGCTAAAATGTCGAGGCTTGACTCCGGCTTTGTACAAATAATCAAGCTCAGCAACCGGGCGATCCTTTGTCTCTGGAAGCAAAAACCAGCAGCCAATGAAACCTATCAAGGTAGTGCCCCCAAAGATAAAACCAACCTTCCCAGATAGGTTTCCAGCATCTGGATTGAATATGTAGGGAAATATAAATCCAATAAGCCACTGGACCAGGCAGAGGACGAGGTTAGACAGGCCCTGTGTGCGAGACCTTAGTCTAAAGGATGGGATCTCGGCAACCACAGTCCAAGCAACTGTGCCAAGTGTGATCTGATAGCAGAAACCCTATCAAGAAAGCATTAGATAGTTGCTCTAAGTGGTCGGTTTATCATGGACTTACCCAAACAAACATAAACGATATAGTGGCGATGGTACTTTGTTTGTCCCCGGGAATAGATGTAGCGCCGACGATGAGCAGGGTCAAGGCACAGACAAATTGGCCCCAAACGATTAACGGCCGGCGGCCAACAATAGTGAGGAGAGGCCATGAAAGAATATTAGCTACAAACATACTGCAATTATTTAGCATTCCCAATAGGAAAGAAAACTTTGCGTCGAACCCGGCCAGCTGGTAGTAATATGACTGGTAGCCGAGGACAAAGATGATACCGGAAAAGTACTGACAGCCATAGATGAACATACAAGTCAGAGTCCTCTTCCGGTCATCTGGGGAGAAGGCATCCAGGTATGAGGGTGCCTTGGTCGTGTCGCGTGCCTCGTGCTCCTCCACAATCGACTCCTCGATCACAGCGAGGATTCCCTCTCGGTCAATGCCGCTGTTTCGGCCATGGAGCCGCAGCAAGGCCTTCTTGGCCTCTTCTATCCTGCCCATTCGCACCAGCCAGACAGGAGACTCTGGCCAGGGCCATATGGTCAAGATGACAAGGCACGGAATGGCCCACTGACAAGTAAAAGGGATAATATAGGCGCTCTTTTCGTTCCGAGGACCCAACTGGTACATGATTCCAGTGAAGAGAAGTGTGCCGGAGAACTGGATTATGTTGGTCATCGCAGTCAGCCAGCCTCGTAGCTGCAGCGGTGCCACCTCAGAGGCATACAGCGGCCCTATAACAAGCCACGCTCCAATAGAGAGGCCGTTAATCGCCTTGCCAGCGGTGAGAATGGGAAGTGATCCACTTTGGGTAGATATGTACTGAACTGCGACGCCAACGACGGAGATACAGCAGAAGAGAAGGTTGGTGTATCTCCGGCCGATCTTGTCCGCCATCCAGCCAGTGATGACGGCACCGAGGATGGCGGCTAGCTGTGCTACTCCTCCGTAGATGCTCTGCCATGTTGCCGGAATGATGAAAGTGGCCTTGTCGCCACTGCCGAAAAGCTCACCGTAATCCTCTCTGCATACCGGCACTGGTGAGCCAATGTATAGTCGTTCAGACAGGGGCGTGGATAGAAAGGAAACATACCTGAACTTTGGTATAGCCAAAAGATTTCCAGCAATCAACCCATCGATTCCGTAGCCAAAGACAACGAGCTGGCCATAGAGAACCCAGAGTGTGCTTCGCCAAAAGACGGACAAGCTTCTGAAGAAGCTGAGCTGCTTCTCCAGGTCCGACTGCCGGCTCGCAGCTTCGCGTCGCAGCGCCGCAGCCGTAGTAGGCCGTACTTCGACATGCTGGGCTGCATTCTTAGCATCGGCGTCGATACTGGGTAATTCATGGCCCAACATCTTAGCTATTAGACTTATAGTATTTGCTGACCTTGAAGAAAGAGGTGCAGAAGGGAGCCAGCAGTACTAATGGCCCTGGGCCTTGATCTAGTTGCCAGAGACCCAGATACATATAGCACGTACGGTACAAAGTATTCTGAGTGTAGAACCTTAGAGATAGGGGACACTGTCTCACAAACTCGTAGCCCATGCTCATCTCCCCACGATGCTTGGACCATGCGGAGGGCGCGGGGTGAATGCGGGGAATTTCGATAGGGCGATATCGAAGCTAATTGATAACTGACAAAGCTCGCCATGTCAGCTTTACGCTATGGTGTCAGTCAATCAGCTGATGGCTTTTGTGGATACCAGTGGCTAGACGAGGGGGATGCTACGGAGAACCAGGTATCACGTCCCCCAAAGATTCGGGGTTGTACGTATTAAGGTCCCTATTCGTCACAAGTGTCATACGCAAGAAATGTCCAAAGGCCAGTCGCTAGAGCAGAATCTCGACTCATTCTTACGTCTGAGAGCTTGAACTCTTTTTAATACACCTGAGAAGCCCAAGACGCCCAATATGGGATCTCTCAACACCCCTCGAGACTTGGATCAATTTGTTGGTGGAACTCCAATCCAAGACGACAATGATGGCCCTTATACCGTATCAGAGCACTTGCTCTGGGCTCCTCGCAGGGTTAGAGTTGCATGCATTGGCGCAGGCGCTTCGGGCATCATGATGTGCTACAAGAAAGACAAGGAGTTTGGAGACTCCATGGAGCTTGTGGTCTACGAACGTTGGAACATACCCCGTCCATACAGAACGTGGCCCCCTTAGCAATGCTGACATGTTCTTACTCTAGGATATCCCAAGTGCGGTGGTGTCTGGTACGCCAACAAATACCCAGGCTGCCGATGCGATGTGCCGTCACCTGCTTATCAATATGCTTTCGCTCCCAAGTCCGACTGGTCGAGGTATTACTCGCCAGCCAAGGAGATCCAAGAGTACTATCAGACCTTCGTTGAGGAGCATGGGTATCTGGACAAGTACATCAAACTGACTCATGTTGTCGAGGAAGCTGTCTGGGATGGAACGGCAAGCCAGTGGGTTTTGAAGATCACTGACACCACAGTCCCCGAGCACCCAAGGACATTTGAGGATAGGGTTGACTTCCTTATCGCCAACACCGGAGTCTTGAATACCTGGAAATGGCCAGATATACCGCATCAGGAACATTTCAAGGGACAGATTACTCACTCAGCTAATTACGACACGTCCATTGAGCTAAAGGACAAGACAGTCATTGTCATCGGCTCCGGAGCATCTGCGATCCAAATTGTGCCTGCTATCAAGAATGAGGCCAAGAAGGTGATCTCCTTCTATCGCACACCACAGTGGATAGGCCCTGGCTTAGCCATAGATGGTCTCACTGACAATGAGGGCCGAAATTTTGATTGTAAGTACCACTTGCCGGCGAATGGCGAGGAAGCTCACCCTAGTGTAGTCACACAAAAACAAAAGAAGGACTTTGCCGATGACTACGATGCATATCTACGACTAAGGAAGGCCTTAGAAACAAAAATCAACACGAGCTTCAAGAACAATCTCACTAAGCATCCCAACCAAAAGGCGGCCCGACAGGTAAGAGCTCCCCAACGACATGGGCGCTGCAGAGCACTAAGCTATGGGCGAAAACAGTTCGTCAGCGAACGTATGGCCAAGATTCTCAACTACAATAAGGGCCTTACGGACAGGTTGATCCCAGACTTCCCGCTCGGCTGTCGCCGACTTGGCCCAGCCGAGGGCTTCTTGGAATCTTTTCTCGAGGATCACGTTGAGCTGGCCGAGGGCGACATCAAGGCTTTTACTGAGAATGGGCTTGTCACCGTCCAAGGGCAGGAATACAACGCTGATGTCATCATATGCGCTACTGGGTTCGACGTCAGCTTCAAGCCCAACTTCCCTATTCACGGCCGGGGAGGCATTTCACTGGGCAAGCTCTGGGAAAAGGACCCTGCCGCATATCTTTCTGTCGCGGCCAGAGGATTTCCCAACTTTATGAGTAAGCTCAAGGAAACATTTACCTGTGCGGAAGCTAATCATGTGCTCTCCTGTCCTAGTCGGCTCGCTTGGGCCAAATTGTCCTGCCGGGCATGGCTCCTTTGTCACTGTGTTGGAGGCGGCCCAAAATTATGTCTGCAAAGTGATCCGAAAGATACAAGTGGATAACATCCGAAGCATCGAAGTCAAGGCAGAGGCACTTGCCGAGTACAATGAGCACATTCATGAGTGGCTCAAGCGAACGTAAGTCCTCGATAGCTTAGACATTACGTCTTTTTCTTTACTTTTCCTTTTCCTCCATAGCTTCTTAGTAAGAGCTAATTATCAATCTACCATTAGCGTTTGGTCTGCAGGCTGTCGATCGTGGTACAACCAGGGGCGCCCAGGCGGTAAAATTACTGCGCAGTATCCCGGCTCCCTTGTTCACTGGCGCATGATGATGGAGAATCCTCGTTTTGAGGATTACGATATCATATACCGCAGTCGAAACAGATTCGAGTTCATGGGCAACGGGTTCACATACCGCGAGGAGACTGGGGAAGATGTGGCTTGGTATCTCGAACGCGACTACATTGACAAACCCCTTTTTGAGTAGTATCCTCACAATAGAACAGATGGACGCAGCACATATTATTAACGAGATATTGATGCAAGCTCGTCATTTTCATGATACGGAAATGATTGTTATCGGCCGTCCTGTGTATGACCTGATTTATCAGACCGCCGCCCGCAAATGTGGGTGGCGTTTGAAAAACTCCTCATCCAGAGTCCAATTCTTCAAGTCGGTAATCTGAGACGCCAACATCCTGGGCCCGCCACCGCCAAGGTCAAGGGCGTTCGTATCAATATTCACGCTCAAATACTGACCGATTTCGAAGGATAAGCTGTGTACACTTTGCGTGGCAGTTTGTGACACTCGTATAAACTCATCTCGTAGTCCTGGCCTGTAGCATGGTGTGAGTGGCTTAAATAGGAAGACACGTGCAAGAAACAGAGGACATACCAAGCGATGCAGCTCGCGGCTACCGGATGAGATACAGAAAGTTGGAGATATGTCGGGCGAAGCCATGGGGGAAGCAATTGGTATGACTCCTCGTCGCGTATAATGTACCACTTAAGAAATTTTAGATGGGCTGGAAAATAGTCGGAAGCGAACGGCGACTTACTCTAAGGAAAAGATACAGCACCCAATAGGTAGCGAGAAATTCAGATGTGCGACGGCTCTCCTTGATGGGCTGCAGAAACTCCTTGAGGTCCATGGACAGAGTATTAGAGGGGTTATCAAGGAGGAAGTCTATAAGATTAGGTGGACCGATTGCTTGCATGTTGACACGGGCGCGATCAATTATAGAGTGTAGAGCCTCGTCTCCGAGCAACGGCGGATGGAGAAGCACAGGGACGGACTTTGGCCCTGTCCATGGGGAGGCGTCGAGGTTCAGAGGCGTCGCAGAGGGCCCGAGGTGATTAATATAGTTTTGTAAGACCTCTGCAAATGCATCATGTGACTGGGCTTGTCTCTGCATATGCTCGTGATCACTAGTAGACTCGCCAGCCCAGGCTCTTCGAGAATCTCGTGTTCGTAAGGGTTCTACCTCATGTCTGTGTGATGTAGAAGCTGGGAACCCATTGCAGGGATGCAGGCCAGGGATATTCTCTGCCTGTCTTTGATTCCTTCTCTCGTCACCCGGCACTTCAGACAAAGGATGGGAGAACAGGCCTGACAGCCCTTCTGGGGTCCTGAGCCCTCTCCCGAGCGCAGTGTTGTCCTGTGCTGTTCCACGAGAGCCACCGAACGTCTCAGATTGTTCGGGGAACCAGCTTTTACCAAGACTAGGTATCAAATCCAACCATGGATACAAGTGGTCGGATGATGGAAAATCTTTCAGGATAGAGGTAGAATGGCTGGGCATGCTATCGTCTGTCCTGGTAATAAGAAAATCCTGGGTTGGAAAGATTTCGCGTTCTTCTGAGAGGCCCTCCGGCAGGGGCTCTGCGGTATCCTGAAAGCCGGGAGGTTGATTCTCGATATCATTCGACAAACATTCTATGACTTCTGTTCCTTCGCCAAAAGCCGCTATATGTGGCTCGGGCATTGGATCTGTGGCTAGCCTCGATGCCGTGGTTGAGAATTCTTGCTTATTGCCGTGATCTAAAATAGCAGCAGAAGATGCTCCGGGCGCCTCCAACGGTACGCCCTGCTCAGAATCTGAGGCGGGCACGGATTTCTTCAAGATTGATTCGCTTAATAGTTTCTGCTGGCGGTGAACAAGATTTCCCAACTCCCCAAAGAGGGAATGAAGAGACTCGAGCTGGACCGGCTTGTGAGTATAAATAAGTAGTGCACCCGGGGGATTTCGAGGAACTAACTTCTTGTCTCAGACGGAAGTTCTCGGTGCCTAGTCGAACGACTTCAGACTCATCGCACGACTGTAGGACCCTCAGCCTTTCCTCGAGCTGCTCCACATATTGCTTCTGTCGCTTTCTGTGCTGCTGCTGGGCGACGCGATCAGTCTGGCGCTTGCGCTCACGCCTTTCAGGGGTCGCCTGTGCCGCGGCAGCGTCATCTTTGGGACCGTGGCCACTACTAGCTTTGAGAGACGGTGTGCGCGGCATTGGTTATCATCAGGTTGGCAGCAGGTAGAGCACGGTGTCGGATGTAACGTTAAGGAGATTTGGCAAGAGAGGGGTAAAGGAAAGCCGTCGACGTGTATGGGCATGTACCAAGTTTTACGGAGATGATGACCAAAGCTGACCGGCGGAATACATACCAGGGAACCACCCACTTATCCCAGTTTCTAGTGACTTAATTCGCAAATCGAGGCTCTGACCGAGTCACCCGAATCCCACCTCTACCCCTCCCACTAACCCTTCAGGGGCTTCATCCCATCCCCCCGCCTTTCCCCCACATTCTCTCTCCATGCCAGAAATCACATCCGAGCAAGGCGAGGGAGCAAACAATGGACTAATAAAACTTGCCCAAGGGAGAGACCCGGTGCGTTATCGTTAATGGTAATCACAAGTGGCCTTTAAAAACCAGTACAAGTCGCGCAAAGTTAATTTTTTTTACATTGGCCTGTAAAACTAGGAAGGGTTCTTATACATTAGGCCTTGCTCTCTGGTTCTCAGGTGTGCAAGTTCTCGTCTTGCAAAACAGCCAGGCCTTTCACCGTCTCTCCTCACGGTGCCATATTCCACATGTTCTCGAATCCGTCAAGCAGTCTGTGTTGTTGTGCAAGAACTAAGCTATCGTGCCGACAATCGCAATCCACCTCGCCTGAAGCCCCTGGTTGCTCGGACACACCTGGCATCACCTCTTCAGTGTACTGACATCTAGGCGGCGCCGATGTTGAATTGGACTCCAAGGGCTCTCGGGAGATGCGCCCATTCCAGTGCTGATCTGTCTGATGCAGTGCATCCCGCAGATGGCCCTGTGCTATCCATTTCTTGATATAGGCTGGAGTGGCGTTCGACTTAACGCAGTTTGCAGATTCAATCAAAGCATGAAAGAGCGCACATGAAGGCGCCAAAAGAGACGAACCAAAAGCTTCCGATATGTTGGTCAGCGAACAAATCGCCCGGTGGAGCTTGTTGAAGAGCAGGCTGGACCATATCCTAACATCCTTTGTGCCGTGTCGTGGACGCCAATCGGGACAGCAAACCAATAGCAGGATCCGGTCATAGAGAATTTGGTTCTCCGCTTCTAAACGCCATGGGACGCCATGCTCCTTGCCAGCTACAATTGTAAATGCCGACGCCAAGCTCCGCTCTCTGGTATGCATGTCTTCCAATGCTTGAATGGTCCAGAAGTATTCATCATGCACGACAAGTGCGCATGACTCTGAGATTGTATTAGGGGGTGGTGACAGCAGGCCTGATGTCGAAAGCAGTTGGGCTTGATAGCGAAGTAGTCTTGTCTTGTGGATGAAACTCCGCGCACGGGTCATACAACTCCATTGTGCAGCAAAGCCTTGGTTCGGTCCACCTTCTATGTTGACTTCGAAATCGCCCAAGCAGAGTTCTTCAGCATCCAAAGGTACCAGAGCGAACCGAGAAGGCTTCTTCCTGAAGCTGCCGTCGGTTTTAGCAACTCTCAGCAAGTACAGCTGCTCAGTGACAAAAACACACCAGCGAAGTCTGTTCAGCAAAATTCGTCCGTGGCCATCTCTTTGCAATTGCTCTCCGTGAGCTTTAACGACCCTCGGCAGGAGATCAATGCTTTCCCGCACCCACTGCTTCCGTCTATAACGATCTTCTCGCGTGTCTGAATGACTGACTGCGTGTATGATTAATAAAAGCGACTGTAGCTGGGCGAGGATCGTGGCTTCGGTGTGTTTGTAAGACAATCTCTTGTGTACCGTTAGTATTATTGCTACATTATATGAGTCACTAGTCTTCGTGAACTCACTTCGAATACTTCAACACAGTACTCCAGGCACTTTTGGCGAGTCTCAGTTCTCATCAAGGCAATGGAAGCCTGCGGCAGCCATTGAACAGCGCTTGCAATCAGCGCAATGTGTAGCGAGGGGGAAATCCCGAAGGCTTTTGCGGGCTCGCTACTGATTGCTGATAGCGACTTGAGAGACAATACGGGCATTTCATAATAAACTTGATCAAAATATAGCTTTTTGCAAATGGTGTTAATGTGGTCCCGGTGGCTGGGCGAAATACCCAAGAGTGGCGTTACAACAACAGTTGCCAAATGACCACCGTCCATCACGGACCAGTATACAGTAGGTAGACAATAAACATCTGCCCCATCTCAAAGCACTGAGTCTACCACCTGCTTAATGTTTTCCGGATGAAAAATGAAGAGCGACTTTTTCCATTACATGTTGAGCCCTGGCAGCTTTCAGAATCCGGTGGTGGAGAATCCGCCCACAGTTTAGCGCAGCAGAAACCGGACCGACTTTTGCTGACTCGCTGCTCCGTGTCAGCATTTTATTCAGCCGGGGCTATTTGCCACTTGAGTGGAACCACCCTGGACATGACCCGTCAAGAACAGACGACAGCGTATGAACGAGGTTTGCCTAACAACGAACGTAACCCGTGAGATGAACACTAAATAGGTATACCATTCAACACAGACCTATGTATGTATCAAGTAACTCAGGTTACAACGTAGAAAGTCACAGTGCCTCCTTTCTTCTTTGAGACGCGATTGTCTAAACAAAACAAGTACGATTTACTCAAGAACTTCAGCGAGCCTTCGAGAATTTGTGCCTAATAACAGTTCGAGTCAGCGCAGACATCCACAAAGGGCCTCTAGCTTTATGCCGCTATCCTCGGGTTCCGAAAAGTAAACCGAGATTAGTTCGGCAGTGGGAAGGACCACTAAGGTACATTCTTATTCAAATGCAGGCAGCACAAGTCCAATAATATCCTGGCCGTGCCAAAATAGGTGGCATATACAGCAAAAATGCTTTATACAGGACCTAATTTCGAGCCGAGTGAGTCACTATCTGTCGCAGCAAAAAGAGAATATAAACTTATTTCCTAGCTCCTGCCAACGTTTCAATCTGGGATTGGCTTTTCCAAGGAGAGAGTCAGCCCAGCCAAAAACATGGCTTTCGAGACGCTTATACGGGACTATTCTTGTCCCATCACCAGGTGAAGGAGGCTGCTGAAGATGCTTCCTTGTCGCTTTCCCTCGATCACAATATTCGGCCTCTTGATTCTGTATCAATCCTGGCACGTAACTCTATTTCTTACGTGTTGGCATTTTTCGCTTCGGTTCGTTTGAGAGCAACAGTTGTGCCCCTCCCCCCGGTTGCTATAGAGGAAGATTTGGCCTACCTGCTCGAGACATCTTCTACGCAGCTGGTTTTTGTCGAACCAAACCTGCTGGCCAATGTGAAAAGGGCCTGTGAGATACTCGGGTCGACTTCTATCAGGATCGTTTTACTGGATAGCTCATCCGCAGACGTCCCAACGCTTGACCTACTAATCCAGAGGGGCAGAACCCTGCGGGGGAGAGCAGCTCGTCTTCTAGAGCCTGTTAATGGGCGACAGCTATCGAGGGCATTTTTGTGCTTTACTTCTGGAACTACTGGAAAGCCCAAAGCTGTACGTCGATTCGCCCTGAGATGATCTCTGACCCTTGCCGAGGGCAGTTGGCTGAACATAATTATCGACAGGTAATTATATCACACAGTAACATTATTAACCAAATCCGCCAAGTCCAAGCATTTACACCAGCCAAGTCCTCTCCTGCGGTAGTCCTCGGGATTCTCCCTTTTTATCACAGTAAGTTCTACAGCTACCACCACGGCGCGGATGCAGAACCGGACTAACCATGTACATTGCAGTTACGGGGCTCGTTCATTTGATCCATCTCCCCCCTGCGAGTGGCCAGGACCTTGTAATTATGGCTAGTTTCGACATGAGAGCCATGATGGAGGTCATTGTACGGTTTCGCTGCACAGAGCTTTGGCTTGTCCCTCGTATGGATACAAATCGTTAAGCAGTTAAGAATTTCACAAACTAACAAGATTCAAGCGCTGCTAATACGACTGCTCAATGACAAGACCGCTCAGGGATATGACCTTTCTCACGTGAAGCAATTCAACACAGGAGCGGCGCCTCTCACGGATCAAGTCATACAGCAGTTGGCAAAGCGGTTCCCGACTATCCGCATCCGGCAGGCCTGGGGCATGACGGAGACAACATCTTGTCTGACGCTAACCCCCCCAGGCCTCATGACATGGGCAAACGCCTCCAAGGCCGGTAAGTTGGCCCCTGGAACGTCGGTACAATTCGTAGACCCAGAAACAGGCGAGATCATTCCAACGGGTGGCACAGGAGAGGTCAGTGAGACTAGCACTTAGTGATAGGAGGCCAGAGCCTTGCTAACTCAACAGAAGATCTGGGCCAAGGGTCCTCAGGTTACCGCAGGCTACCTACGTCGACCGACGGAGACCGCCTCTTCCTATCGGAGGGGTGGATTCTTTCGCACCGGGGATTTGGGTTCGATCAGTGAAGATGGATTTATCACGATACATGACCGGCTCAAGGAAATGATCAAGGTGCGTCGGCCGAACGGTAGTCAATAGCATAACTGACAGTCTGAATACGCAGGTCAGAGGACATGCGGTGGCTCCCGCTGAACTTGAAGATCTTCTCTTAGGTATTCCTGCAGTGGCCGACGCCGCAGTCATCGGTATCCCGCATGAATACTCCGGCGAAGTTCCTAGGGCGTTTGTGGTGGTGCATAACCACATCATGCCATCTGAAATACTAGCAGACCAAATTTCGTCCTTTGTGAAAGCCCGAAAGCCCAAGTACAAGAGCTTGGCGGGAGGTATTGATTTCGTGGAGAGCATACCCAAGAGCCCGTCCGGCAAGATACTGCGTCGCGCCCTTAGGGACCGCTGGCTCTCATCTGCCAAGGCCAAAAATAGGATCGAACCAAAACTATAGAGCTAGGAACAATTGGCGAGCGGTGGGATGCATATACATTTCCAAAGGCTTAGATTTGTTGCCGTCTAGCCTCTGGGGGCGCTGAAGTCTAGACCGTCAGTTACCCAGTAGGAATCACAGCCCCCCATGCTCCAACCCCTGGCTCGGGTTAGTAGATACATGTAGCAAAATGCAAGCAAGTCGATGAGACTTAATAAACATGACGTCTCCCGCTCACTCGCCCAGCGTTCTCAACATCACTCTGATATGTCTTCTCTCACTGTGACGAGGTGGGCGAGAATGCGTTTCTCTATTGTGCACACGGCGTTTTGGTATGAGCCACACGTCGCTATTATCTCAAGCCACACTTTTCGGAGACAGATGACTCTGGCAAGTCTGGAATGGCGACTGACTAAGTCATGCGAGTCAGGTGGAGCAGATCAGCTCCTAGCTGGTCTTAACTCTATATTAGCCTACCAGAATAAGGATAAAGTAACTAACCATCATTGAAGTCGCCTTCTTCACTGCAATAACCTTACTCGGAGTGCAATATAAAGCTCTGCTTAATTCTTGGGACCTAGCCTACACGGTGCTCGCTGCTTACCCCGACCAGTTGGCACTGAGGGAATCAACCTCCCCTAAGATCATAGAGTCAGTTGTGATCATGGCATTGAACCTACCCACAAGCGCAACCGCTGCCCTCCCCCCGGCTCAAGATACAGGAACATCACCGGACAGAGACAACAAAAAGAGGAAGAGAGCACGTAAGGCTTGTCTCTGCTGCCGGGCGAGGAAAGTGAGATGCGATGTAACTCAAAATGGAAGTCCCTGCATGAACTGTTTTCTAGATGGCGAGCAGTGTGTCGTAACTGAGAGACTCGCTAAATAGTGAGTTTGATCTCCCCTTGATACGTCGCGAGCAACTAGCTGAAGGTTTTCTCAACATGTTAGTCGATCTGCCCAGAACAACTGGAAAGAAGCCACGGCGACGGCTGATGCAGGCTACGATATCTCAATGATGCCTGGTAGCGAAGTTCAAACCTCGCAAGCCGTGGTGATATCAGGAATGGAGAAGGTCCCCGTGAACGAAATGCTCGATATTCACCAGCCTCCCCTTCCAGCCGCCCTAGACGTCCATAGTATAGCGGGTGGCGATCATGAGAGCTGGCTAGATCCTTGTGGTGCGCCAAATACATTTTCCACGCCCCTACAAAACGGATCGCCATGTGAGTTAGCATAAAGAGATATTTTTCAAGCCCTAGAAGTATCTAACCATCAGCAGTAGAATCCCATGCACTGTATTCGCTAGAACAACTGCAGGATGGAAGGTCGGCCGTGCAGAACAAGGGTTTGACCGACCAATTGCGGTTCGATGCAACCGTTATATACTCACACTTCTCCTTTCTAACAATGAACAAATTGTCAACAATATCCTCCCAGGATGTCAACTTCCTAGACGCACAAGGATGCTTACGTGTACCTGCAAAAGCCCTTAGCGATGACTTCCTCTCCGCATACTGCCTGCATGTCCACCCACTTATGCCCTTGTTAAACGAGGGGGACATCTGGGCTACCTACTTACAAGACCAGGGAGACAGTCAAGGTTGCCTATCGCTGTTGGTTTTCCAGGCAATACTGTTCGCCTCGTGCAACTTTGTTTCCTTGACTACCATACATGCACTTGGATATAGCAGCGCTCGGGAGGCGAGAGCATCTTTCTACAGGCGTGCTAAGCTGCTGCATGATTTCGAGGCAGAAGCCTCTCCATTGGCACTGGCCCAGGCCTCTCTACTTCTCTCCTATTGGTCCCCCAAATCAACCAAAAGGCCAAGCACGTCTTGGCTAAGTCTTGCCATCCAGCACGCGAGGAATGCAGAAGCGCATCGTTATGCTACGCGTTCTGATCCTGCGCCAGCAGCTGGCTCACCAGCAGACCGCAAACTCAACAGCTTGAAGCGCATATGGTGGTGCTGCATTGTCCGAGATCGTCTTTTGGGTCTCATAACACGCCGACCGATCCAGGTTGCGCGATCGCATTTCAACATCGACAAATACCCTGCGCTGAGCCACTTTGATCTCATCGACGAGGTGGGCAGATCCCGGGTATATACGCCGGATACCAAGCGAGAGTTGATCGACATAATGGTTCACCTAGTTAGATTCTGTATCATATTAACCGACGTGCTGACGCTGGCGTTCCCTCTCAACGATACACGCGACTCGGGTTACTCCTCCACTTCGTCCAACGAGAAGCGTCTGTATAATAGCCAAGAGTGCCTCAAGAGGTGGTATGGTGTAGTAATGCCTCGTCTTCAACAGCATAACGACAACCCTAGACACAACTCAGTTAGTCTTTATTCGCACCTCATGAAGATCTATTACTATTCCGCCGAGATGGCTCTATGCCATTGTGAGATTCATTCCCTCACATCCTACCCATCTCGCCTAGAAAGGGACATCATGGGGCCAGGAATGCAGTCAACCCTTCGTCAAATCCAGCGCGCCCTTCAAGAATCGACGTCTGGCATTATAGAATGCCTGAAGGAGCTCGTGTATCGAGAACTCGCGCATTGGCTGCCAATATCGGCTGTTGGATGCACTGCCTTGCCGCTAGTGCTTCAAATACTCGATGTGGCATTAGCTCCTCCAGAGTGCAACTCTAGAATAGACGGCAGCATGGTTTCGGCCCGTAAGGAGCATCGATTGAATATACTCCTCCAGGCAATGAAGTCGTTCAAGCTGCATTACGATGAGGCGGACTGGGTAAAGGAGATTGTTCGTCATGCTGTCAAACTTGCACCAGTGGGCAAAATGGGCCAGTGGCTTCCAACATCCATGAAACCGTTCGAGAATTGGACCAGCATGTTGGTATCAGAGCCCAGGTCATACTTACGACTCGTCCTAGCCATCGATCTTAGTCTAAGCAAAGGTAGACTGTCCCAAGAAAGCGACTTCCCAACCCGCCTAAGAGGGGAATCTCTCGCAGTGCACTCAAGCCCTGTTCGAAAGGCCATTAGCGTAAAAGCCCCCACGGGTATCAGAGACGGGGAAGCCGCAGATCCAGAGGCTATTATGTCGCCACAAGTTGGAGGCCCCCAATATTTCATGACCGAGGCCCCCGACTATGAGAGATTGGTGGATGCTGACAGTATAACCAGCAGAGCATACAAGCACCCGGCCGAGCAACCCATAACAGCAGCTCTTGCAGCCTCCTCTTCGCTACCCTCCCCGGGATATTACAGTATTGGAGATGCTGGCACGGATAGAATATTTCAATTAGAAGATGTTAACGATACCTCGGCTACGTCATCCTGGACTGAGGAGTCCTGGCGCGATATAAGCGATAAGGAGGAAAGAAGTGACAGAGACACGGCAATCGCTCTACTGGAGGCACTGGAAGAATATGGCTCAGCTGAAGCCCCGAACCCTGTATATAAATAGCCTAGAGCCTGGTAGCTGCTTCTATATATGAACTCCAACAAACCTACCAGGCTATATAGATATGTAGTTCACGGATGTTGCAAATAATGCCTCAATCATCGTCGTAGCTTCATACGTGGAGGAATTTATCTTAACAAGTCTCAAACCGGTAGCGTCCAAAATCGGGATGAAACAGCGCATGAAATAGACTGTCGCGAATCCCGGTGGACGGCATGGATAAGATAATAGACGAGTTCTCAGACGAGTTCTCGGACGCGTTGGATGTTGTGGGAGCCGCTGTACCTGAAGATTAGGGGGGGAAACAGTATGTAAATTCATATGAAGACGAGTCCTCGCCTGTATCTTAACATGATGGTGCAGCCTTTCAAAGCTCGATGGGGAATATATAATCTAGGTACGGAGTACGGCAGGATAAATTGAACATCCAGTCTTAGCTACATATGGGGTCAACAATAACAGGGTGACTGCGTATCGAATACTCTTCGCCTGATCAAAGGCAACATTCTCTCTGAAGCTTGGCCTACTGTCACAAAGTGAAGCCTGGTCCTCGTTCACGGCATCACAGGGATCCTCCTCCATTTTCTATTCAATACTTCAGATGGCGTCTTAACAACAGCGCCTGTGAGCTTTGGACTTGAACTTGGTTCTTGATCCTCTGGTGTTAATTCACGCTGATTGGGTCTGTTATCCATCCATTCCGGGTTTAGTCTTACTGTGGATGCAGGAAATTTGCGGAAGTGCACAGGGCTGACACGAGGGCTTGGCCTCGTCGCGCCTCTTGTGACGTCCGCGACATGCCTAGACCGTGGCATGGTTTGCAATGGCATAGGGGAATAAAAATGCGTTATCGGCCATAGTTATCCGTAACTCTAGTAAAATAATCAAGCCACACTACGAGTGGAGATAGGTAGCCAATCTGAGGAAAGGGGGTGGCCATGCAACTGCGCCCTGGAAATATGGATGTGGCGACGGCAAGCCAATGCTTTTATTTTTTCCAGTCCAGTATATAAAAATAGGAGTCGACATATTTATTCCGCGCGAAATGATTTCCGCGCGAAAATGAGCCCGTGCTAAACAGAGCCTTAGGACAACCGTACCTATCATTGATCATTCTTCCAAAAAGACCCGCCGTTTCCTCTCAAGATATTTTATTGGCTGAGCAGCTACCCCCAGCACAAGGCGAATATGAATTGCCGTGTCTAGGATCGATATATTCGCGTTCTCACGTGCGAAATAACCCAGAGCCGCCCGATGTGCCTGCAGGGCTTCTCGAGATAGCAAGCCCGCCATTGGAGGCGTTCAGCTGCAAAAATGTGCATGCGCGTAGTCTCGTACAGATATGAAAGGCCCAGAATGACATGCAAAACAGGCTTATAGAGTGCTGTCTCCGTTTCAATACTTTGGAAACTAAATCGATTTATTTTTACCTCTTTCTTTATAATTCAATATCCAACTTTGATCTTCTTAATAATCAATAAGCTCTATCAATTAACTCTGAATTTACTGTAGGTTTTAGTTTCCTATTTTAATTACTTGATTTTTCTATTATATTACTCTTCTTTTCAAGCCTGCAGGGTAGCCGGACCTCTTAATCAGCTACTATGTATCTAGGAGGACCCTCTTTTTATTTTCCAAGTAGCTCTCCACAGTAGTTTTCAGGGGTCAGGATTAACAAATTGGTTAGCTTGAGGAAGAGCGATTTATTAAGTGGTTCCAGTTTCAATCTGACGGGTAGCGGCTTGTAGGGATATCCTCGGGTAAATGTTCCCTTGAAATTAGACTGCTGATAACGCTGAAGTAGGCAAGACCGCCCAGACACTTTGTAGTTTTCATAAATTTATACACAATGTCTTAAGACTATTTTTATGCATGAACATTATCTCCCACTGCACACAAAAGACCTACGTGTCACGATTAAGAGCCTGACCGTGACAGCCTCATCGGCTGCAGTGGCTTTTGTAACTGAGGTGATGTCGAAAGTCTATATGTATTGCTCGCTCCGCCAAGGACTTATGGTCTTATGCTTTGGCTTTAGCTTTGGCTTTGGCGTTATATATACTCCATCTGTTGGTTTATCTCGGTGATTCACCTGCTCGTACGAGCCTAGATCTCATAGCCGGGCTGTGCCTTCAAGCTCAAGATACGGGGGTTCAATGATACGAGTAATTAGGGATGATCTCTTCAATCTCTAGCTAGCTAACCTATGCATTGGTTATGAATGCGCGCGGGATCACGTGCCCAGTCAGGTGACTGTGGCAGCGCGCGCCTCATAACCTGATATTGAACCAACACCATCCTTGTTTAGAAAAGTGCTGTCTCTCGTTGTATAAAGCCCGGCGCACATATCTGCTCCTGATACCCAGTTGCTATCCCTGCGATAGTATTTATAAGTTCATCCGCAAGTGACGATTGCTAGGATGATAATCATGTCGAAGCTGAGATGGAATATTTGACAGTCTTCACTGTGGTCCAGCTTTCAAGTGCCTCCTCGCCTCCGTCTCGGCCGAATCCGCTCTGCTTATAGCCACCAAACGGGGCATCAGCGCTCAACATACCCCAGGCGTTGACTGTAACATGCCCGCTCTCCATTGCAGCAGTGACCCGAACAGCCGTGTCGATGCTGCTTGTAAAGACGGCTGCACTGAGCCCATATATCGTCCGGTTTGCCCTGGCCACCGCCTCCTCTTCTGTAGAAAACTTGGAAATAGCCTTCAGATGGGTCAGGAACGTAATGCAACAAATTCAGATTGGCCACTCACAGCGACTGGACCAAAGATCTCGTCCCGCGCAATGATAGAGTCCTCGTCAACTCCCATAAACGCAGTGTTTTCAATAAAATAGCCTCCTTCGCCAATAGCTTTGCCTCCGTGAAGGAGATGTCCCCCGTTTCGTGCACCCATCTCAACACTTTTTAGAATGCTCTGGAGCTGAGCTTGGCTGATTATCGGACCCTTCTTCGTTGCGGGCAGAAGAGGATCACCATAAACCGCATCCCGAGATCTTTGGTGAAACTCCCGACAAAACCGTTCATAAATGGACTCGTGCACCAGGATCCTTGAGCCAGCAGCGCAGATCTGTCCGTTATGCAATGTGATTCCCCGTATCGTCCACTTTAACGCATTCTCCAAGTCCGCGTCGCCGAAGACGATGCTAGGACCCTTTCCGCCGAGCTCTAGACTGATCCTCTTGAGGTTGCTGTTCGCTGAAGCCCGCATAATGCTCCGCCCAACGGACGTTGACCCCGTGAAAGCAATCTTGCTTACTCCCTGGTGCTCCGCCAAGGCGTGACCTGCGATCGTCCCCAGACCGCAGATGATGTTAATGATGCCTGGGGGGAAGCCTGCTTCACAGACGAGCTCACCAAGTTTCTGTCCACATAGGGGAGCAAGCTCTGGAGTTTTAATGATGAGAACGTTGCCTGCTGCAATGGCAGGTGCTAACTTCCAGATTGCAATCATCCTAGATCGGTGCCGCCCTGTCAGCCATTATCTGCCCACAAGTTTCTTCACGGTGGGACATACAAGGGGGCGTTCCATGGAACAATTGCGGCACATACTCCCAGAGGCTCGCGGCTGGTAAAGCTAAGCCCCTCACCTCGGCCATCAAGGAGCTTCCCCGTAATCTTATCCGACCACCCCGCATAGTAGCGCAGTTGTTGAATAGACTGCTCTATCTCACCGTACTGGGTATCAGCGTAGAGCGCACCCGCGTCCACGGCTGCCAGGGTTGCCAGATCATCGCGATCCCTCTCGATTAGCTCGGCGAGTCGCAGGAGGAGCTTTGCCTTTTCCTGTGGGGGACTTCGCTTCCAACATGCCACATAGGCAGTCTGGGCGGCTGCTACGGCAGAATCTACATCCTCTGTTTGGGCAGCCGACACTTTGGCGAGGTGCTTTCCTGTTGCTGGGTTTATCGTGTCGAGAGTGTGCCCTCCATGGGCGGGGATGAATTTGTTGTTGATAAACAGCCCGGTGGACACTGTAATATGCGGAATTAATATCACGACTTTTATCAATCTCCATTAGGGGAAGACCTGCCTTGTATCGCATGATTTTCACGACCAAAGACAGTCGTAGTGACCATCGTGCGCGTCTGAACTACTGGTAGGGATAACTAGAGTCTTCATGAGTTAATACTTTGTTCAACTAGACCCAACGCCGTGAGACCTACACAAAGGTCTATTTATTCATATACTGTCGTCAGTTTCTCATCAGTGCCGATCAGGAATACTCACTGTGGGTCGGGAAACTACGCAGTTTCCTTGGAGAGCCACGCCAAGATTGTATGTGGCTCGCAACTCAGCACGCTGAGGAGCCACATAGATCGGGATCTGTAACCCACTGGCCTTGTCACGCAATAGCCACTTCAATGGGTTTACTGACCTCTTTTACTTGTAGGCAATCAAGCAAGATCGTTCCGTGCTTGCCTTGTATTAGATATCTGGCTGCTGGGGGGCCGGTTGGTATTCTAGCGGGATGGGTTCAAATTTGTACCTCGTTCTACGCTTATATTGAGGCATTTAACAAATCGTAATTTATCGCTTGGATTATTCTGCCGAGATGCGCGCCTTTACTGCCTTGCTATCTGCAAATGATCGTCAACAGCCATGTGAAGTTGCCCGAGGTTCTCAGATAAAGTGTACAGCAGACGAGAGTAATCCCCAAGCTTCCACTTCTTCATAGCATCCAAAAGACTGGCAAAATCCAGGAAAATCTTCTGGGCAGACCAAACACCCCCGTGACAAGGCTCACCATCTATAGATATGGGGCCACCGAAACGGATGAAATTTACAGCTGCGTTTTGGGTTCTGGCGGCGACTCGGGCTTCCACTTCGACAAGGCCCTCGGCCCCTATGACTTTCCAATCGACATCACTCAGCATTTCGAACTTCTCACTGCATCTGGCTTGCCCGTCTATCTCTGCGGGTGCGACGAGAAGATAGAACCCCAGAACCAGAGCAGCGTTGAACAGATGATGAGGGGATTGGAATGACCCGCTATCCAGTGGGCGTCGACGCGATGCGATTTTGAAAGCCTGCGACGCATGCAGACAAGCTCTTCTCGCAGCAGGAGTGCATGCCCAGATCTTGACCATAGCAATCGCCCTCCTCGCGGATTCAGTCCCTTCCCTCCCAGCCGCTTCTTCGAGGAGGTAGCAATCAGTCGTCAGCATAATGGCCAATTGATGCCAAATGACCAGAAGATCGGAGGCGATTTCCTCAATGTTGCTCTCGCAGAGCTGCATAATCTGCAGGACCAGCTGCGTATTCAGCTTGGCCTTCTTCTCCTGCGCAAAGACCTTCCACGGGATGTATTGATTACTGGACAGGATCGCCGCGTCGGCGCCGCAGAATAGGACGCAGTAGCTATCGTGGATGCGGAGGAGCACGGAGCAGAGTATGACCTTCATGGAATACTGGTCGGCGGGTCGGGGGAGGACGGGCAGCTGCAAGTCAGTAGAAGATATCGTGAATTGAGAGCTCGTTGCTCTGCATCCGTGCTCTTTGAGTTGAGCCCATTCTCTGGATGTTGATGCCTGAAAGAGTCTCTTGTCACAGGGGAGAAAGACTTTAATGTGTTCGGTGCACACGATGGGGTTTGTAGAATAGTACTCCGAAAACCATGCATCGGCTAACAAAAGACACATGATGACTCTGCAAAGTAATGTATATAGTTAGTGAACTGCGGCTACTTGGGCGTGATTCATCATTTCAACCCACCGCTTAGTCGACTCGACCCGACTCCAAGACACCCATTGATCATGTTCCGTTAAAGTTTCGGCTAAAGGATTGTTCAGAACGTCGTGGTAATTGGCTGTGAATAAGCCGTGCTGGCGTGCCGCCTGAGGATTGATAAGCATGAGATCTCGTGAACGGGACTGATGATCTGACTGTTATGGAGGTTACATAGACTAAACGGCTACGCTCTGGACACGAACTTCCCTGGATTCAAGGTTAATAAGAAACTTGACCAGCATTTATTGTATCAACCGTACCCCGGTAAGTATCACAAGGGCAAGCATGAGCCCCGACGCCGCGAACATGCGAATCCTTTTCTCTGGGCCGATGTCCTCGAAGGCGCTGGTGACGACTTCCGAGTATACTTGTTCTAGCACGCCCTGGGTGAAAAAAATCAGTATGGGACAGAAATTTTCAAGCCAATGCGACGAAGAGAAAGGGGGATTAACTGACGGGGAAAACCCTCGAAACTAGAGCAGTGGCTTCTTCAGAATTGACAAACGTCAGCCCAATTAAGCACATGATGAAGAGTAGAGTAGGTGGGGTCTCTTGCTCGCGGAAGGTTGGAATATGCACTATCGGTATAGTGGCATGGAACTTTCGTCTATACTGCTCCAGACCCAGAGCTAAGAGCTTGAAGGAGACCTTGCAAGTATGGCATATCTGAACGCTTTGCGAGAAGCTGGATGTAGTACAACCACCGGCGGATATGCCACCATCATCTGCAGAATACAGAGGATCTGTGTCACTACAACTGCAGCCCATGAAGCGCGCTGTCAGTGGCCGAAGGCTGTCGAAGATCACGCCGATTTTGTCATGCTGGTCACACCGCGGCCTTCCAGCTTGGACTTTCTGCGAGAGGAGGTTTCTATCCGTGCAAGAAGCCACGTCATGCCATAGAGTATGCATCAAAGAGGCGACACGACGCGGCCTCCTCGGCCATGGGGCTTGTGTCTTGTCCAACTTTTGTCCTAGGACGTCTAGTTCCAGCTCAGGCAAGCCTGGGTCACCAGCCAGGCTTGGCATGTTGCGTGTGGAGCCTGCAGCAAAGAAGCGCCCATCGAAGTCATTGCACCACGATTGAAACGAGTCCGAAGGGAATGATGCTTCATCTAAGATACTCCCAACACTGATGTCAAGATGGCTCCCCAGGAGCGGTGTGGAGTCCCAGTGGAGTGTCTCGTCACCTAACTGCACAGGAATAGTCTCCGGTGGAGCGTGCGGCATAGGTATGGATAATGAATCTTGGGGGGCGGTGAGCTTGGTTGTCTCATCCCTATACTCATACCGCTCTAGTCGCTGCTCGGCAAGCTCCCTTACCGCATCGTTGTTGATCAAGGGCGACCAGTGTGTCTCAGGAGTAGTCACTGACTCAGTTTGAATGGGTGATACGTCAGGGGTTCCAAGCTCTACACCAATGCTTGCTGTCTTTGTCGCCGTTGGGGATCGTCGATGGGACGTGGTGCAAATAGAACTCTCCTGCGGGTTGAAATGTGATTGATTTGACACGCCATTGCCGTGATCGCAAGACAGCACCTCTGGATTCTGTATCTCTTCGACACTCGGGGTTAAATGCTGTTCTTCTGCTGGCAATGTCAACGTCGCATCGCGATCGCTACCGGCATCGTTTACAACGTGGGCTCGAGTATGGCGAAGCAGTACATCCCTGCTCATCTCCAGGTCAGTAGACACAAACAAGTGTAGGTATACAACTTACCTTCGAGCGAAGCTCTTCCCGCAGACGGTGCATTTGAATGGTCGCTCTCCCGTATCTGGTCAAGGCGGGTTAGGGTGGATAAAAAATAGAGAGAGAGATAGAGCTCATATTTAAAAAAAACAGAGTCACGCACGTGCCCGCTGATGTCGCCTCAGATGCTGGGATTTTGTGAATATGCGGTCGCAAGAATGGCATTTGTTAGCAAGCATCATAAATGTGTTTGGACCGAAGGGGGGAAGAAAAAAAAAGAGGAAAGCTCCGTAGATGCCGAAGACAAGAACAAGTGCCGGAAAGATACCGGCCTTGAATGCGGGGTGCGGATTCTCGGAGACGAGCTTTGCCGAAAGAAGTCTGTGCTGACCAATTCTGCAGCAGCCGTTTAACTGTATCAGGATTGAAAGCCTCAAGAGCTGTCTCAAATATGGGGCTCAAGCCGAGATTGGCAAACGTGGGGAAGATCTAATGACTTTGATACGATTGAGGAGGCTTGAGTTTGCGCCACTGCAGGTATGGAAACCATTAGACCGGTGGATGAACGGAAGACCAAGCGTTGGAAGTAACACTTCAGGTTTCATCCCACCTCCTATGTTAACTAGATCAGAATTATGTTGTGGTTCATGAAGGTGATACCGCCAGGTCCCGTAGCTGCAACGATTTCCAATGCCATTTTACCAATGTTTCCCTCAAAGGTGACAAACTAGGCGAGTAGTGTCTGACGTAGCAGTCCATGCGTGTTTGCAAAGTAATTCGTCACTGGCAGCAAGGCTGCTATTCTGGAATAACCTCTTGAGCTTCTGCAACCAGATGTAGAAAGACTATGCCTTGCCAGTCTCTTTCCCCAGCCACACGGCTTGGAGCCACACGAGTAAGAAGAGGCTTGGAGCCACATGGCGATCCATCCCGGCCACATGTTTGGCACATGTTTGAGAGCCACACACTTCACAGATACCTCACTTGCCCGTTCTCCAGATACGCTCAAATTGAACGTTAAACTTGAGGGCATGGGAGACTGGTGCCACCTCATAGCTTAGCTAGGATCACTTGGTTAATAAGTTCGTTCACTCTCAGTTCAGTTTTGCCCCCCGTGGATCGAAATCACTCGAACAGCCACTACTGTCATCGACAATTCTCAGCCAAGAGTAACAGACTTTCCCGTCAAAGAGCCCGCCATTTAAATCAATTATAAAGATCCATACATCGCAGCCATGACGGAATCCGTGTCAAACTCCAACAACACATCACCCAAGCCCGACTTTGACTGTCTCATCGTAGGGGCAGGCTTTAGTGGCATTTACCTGCTGGAGCGTCTTCGAGAGCTTGGCTACGGCTGTAGAATCTTTGAAGCCGGAGTCGATCTCGGTGGAGTTTGGCACTGGAACAGATACCCTGGGGCTCGCGTAGACTCTCCAATCCCCGTCTACGAGTTGTCCTTTGAGAGGGTCTGGAAAGAGTGGACGTGGTCTGAGACATATCCCTCTGCGGACGAACTTAGGAGCTATTTCAACCACGTGGATAATATGCTTCACATCAAGAAAGACGTTGATTTCAATAAGAGGGTCATTGGGGCTCAGTATAACGTCCATGACTGCAAATGGTATATCACCGCCGAGGATGGCTCTACGACGACTTCCAGGTTCTTTTTGGTCTGCGCCGGGTTTGCAGCCAAGACTTTTATTCCGGACTTCAAAGGCCTTGACGTGTTCAAAGGCGAAATACATCATTCGTCTGCCTGGCCTGAGCAGGGCGTCGACGTCAAGGGGAAACGCGTTGGTATTATCGGTACTGGATCAACCGGGGTTCAAATTACCCAAGAATGGGCGAAATCAGCCAAGTCGACTGTAGTCTTCCAGAGAACCCCCAACGTGGCTCTACCCATGAGGCAAAGTAGTGTTACGGCTGAGGAGCAAAACAATAAGAAGCCGGGGTATCCAGAGTTTTTTGACCGAAGACAGCAGACGTATGGTGGCCAGGCGATGGAACGGTGGCACAAGAAAGTTTTTGACGATACTGCCCAAGACCGAGAGGCTTTCTTCGAGCGCCGCTGGGAGCAGGGTGGATTCGGGTTTTGGATCTCCAATTACCGCGACATTTTCACCGACCTGAAAGCGAACCGCGAAGCCTACGATTTCTGGGCTCGAAAGACCCGTGCCAGAATCCATAATCCCGCAAAGAGGGATATTCTTGCCCCTGTTGAACCCCCCCACCCATTCGGAACCAAGCGACCCTCGCTGGAGCAAGACTACTTCGATGTTCTAGATCGATCTAATGTCCAGATTGTCAACGTCAAGCAGGACAAGATCGTCGAGGTCACCGCGGATGGCATCATCACTGCCAGCGGCTCCTTCTTCCCTCTGGATGCCATCGCCTTGGCCACAGGCTACGACGCTGTAACAGGCAGTATGACTAACATGGGCCTCCGCAGCGTCGACGGCGTCTCACTAGCCGAGGAGTGGAAGAACGGGGCGAGCACGTACCTCGGGTTGGCACGAAGAGGATACCCAAACATGTTCTTCACCTACTCGGTCCATGCGCCGACGGCCTTCTCCAATGGGCCATCGTGCATCGAGGCCCAGGGCAACTGGATCGTCGATGCCATCCTCAAGATGGATGCCACAGGGATTGTAAGCATCGAGCCAACAGCTGAGGCTGAGAGGGAGTGGAAGGACAAGGTAACCACCCTGTCAGACCGTACGCTCTTTCCCCTGGCGGATTCTTGGTACATGGGTGGTAATATCCCCGGGAAGCCTCGTGAGCAGCTGAACTACCTCGGAGGCCTCAATGTGTATGAACAAGAATGCAGAAAAGCCTTGGAAAATTGGGATGGATTTATCACGAGTCAAAGATAATTTGATCGTTTGATTTACTTTCAGCTCGGGTCGGGGATCTGCGGTACTTTGGAGACGTTGTCCTAGTGCTTTCTGAACGGAGAGTAAATGGGGAGGAGAGGAGTGCTCGTGCTATTATCCCTGAACTTTCCATTGCTTTCTTTTCGTTGTATTGCAGTAAATACGATAAGTTGCCAGGTAAAAGATAGGGAAACAATCCAGTAAGTGTAGCTTAAAACGAAAACAGATAACCTCGCTAGTAAATGGAGTATCTGGTCGCTGAATCGACGATGATTACCCAACAGAGCTTTGGTGCAACCTTGCTGTACTAATCCAACAAAACGGCTCATAAATGCGGTAGTTTCGAGACGTCTATAACTCTACAGATAGACAGGGCTTTCTTCCGACTCATTTGACGGGCTGATGCTCCGTGGCTCCCAAATGGCTCCATGTGGCTCCATGTGGCTCCATGTGGCTCCATGTGGCTCCATGTGGCTCCAGCATCGCTACTTCTAATGTAGCGTGGGAGAATACGAATGATAAACTTTAACAACAATGAAGCTGCCAGGGCCCGGAACAACTCAACGCAATGAATAACTTCTAATGTAGCTCCATGCGCTTTGTGGAAGCTCCACCAAATTGCGAGAAGCTGCAGAGTCGGGTTATTTCCCGTTGGGAAATAACATATCGGGCACCCATAGAGTAGGCGATCTTAGCCAGATCCGTACGTCGTTAACGCTGACGATGGCTTTCAACGGATAGCCCAAAAGACCGACATGGGCCTCATGATTGGTGCGGTATGGATAGATGCAATATAAAAAGGCCAACCTCTATATAATCGAGCTGTTCATGAGTCGACTACTTAGCATGTCAAAATGCTCGATTCGGTGCAACAAACTCCTAAGACTGGTCCAAAACAAAATGGTTAAAACAGGCCCTTGCGACGACTTTGCCAGTATGTCCCACCCATTCAGGGCACACATGAGACAGCGAGGACGCTGGAGTCGAGGGAGGGATTCTAAAAAAGAGCTTAATGCTACCTTTCACGGGATTTGTCTCGTCTACCGCCCCAAGACTTTTAGACCATGACTCCTATCCTGCCAACGCAAGACACCCGCAGTAACAGACCCTTACTATATCTCGACGGGGCCGCCTTCGATTAGTTCTTGAGGTGACTATAGTGCAGGGGTTAGTGTGGGCAGGGTATTCGGCTCATAAGGTACTCTAAGTAAGGACCATATCAAGTAATACCAAGAGAGTGTTTTGTATAACTCAGCTATATTAATAGCTGAGTTACTCTACTTCGGGAGACTGATAACAAATGCGGTATATCTACTCGGTGGTGTCCTTATCGTACTACATTTCCCGACCGTGATCCCTTTGCTCCATGATCATCGTGGCTCATGGGTGGTTTGTTCGACCGGTCGAGATCCTCTGATGATTAGTAGGGACTCACGTACCCCATATGTAGCCAAGGTACGTATAAAAACATTATCAGAAAACGTGGTTTAACGCCGATCGTATTGAGACCAAGTTGTGGAAACAGAAGGTAGGCATAAAATAACAAATATTCCTAAGCTATTACATTCACCTGTATCTACCACAGTCTCAGTTTCAGGCATATCCTTCGTATCAAATGCTCAGCTCGGCAGAGTACAAGTAACTCTGTTGTGATTCACCAAACAAATTATAGGCGGCTAGCACTACCAACGTTGAGATCCTTCACCACCGGGATATAGGGATACAAGTCTGGAATTTCTTGCACATTATACTGGTCAGTATCCCCAATTCTTGCAGAGTCAACCCAGTTGCCATGAACCGCAGATCGAAGTCCTGATGCATTCGTCAATCACTACCCTAGCAGCGGATTTCTTTTTGAACTTACTAAACGGCAAGATCACCTTCGCAACAGCCTTCTGGAAATCGCGAGTATCCTGGATGATCTATGAATGTTAGTCATAGGGGTTTCGGATGAACATGACGTATTCAACTAACCAATTCATTCCGGCCATTGGCTATATTGTCCACCATTGTAATTAAGAACCCATCTCCTTCCGGGGCCCCGGGATACCGGGGGCTGAACGCCGGTTCCTGGACTAAGCAGTTCGGCCCCGGGGAAAAATACTCTACATTGCCGGTCTGGTAGTCGACACGAGCCAGTGCGTCTAGGCCCTGGAATACCGTTTGACCAGCTTCTTTGCGTGGATCGAAGCAGGCAAGCCAGGTGATACGGCCTACAGCTTGTGAGTTCACGTTCATGATCTCCGTCTGGGTTCTGTAGCCTACTTTTGCTCATGAGAAACCGCTCATCTACCCGTGGAAACTCGCACGGGCCGCGGAACACAATCTCTGGACCACAGATCAGATCATTTTCGTTCCCGCTCTAGAGCCTCTTGCCTACCTGGGTCGGGCAGCTCGTCCGATGTGCTATCCGGGTCAATGCAAAATTTAACGTGATTGACCGTAATGTCTTTCGGTTCGGGGTTAGGGCCCTGGCGGCAGGCTAAAGCGGATGTCAGTTACCAAGCTTGTGACTAGCAGGGAGTATATTTACGTAAGAAGCTCAAGGCGTTGTGCGAAGCGAGTGTTGTGTCAAAATACCTGTCAAATTTGTGAGCGTATCATTCTTGTTTGAACTGAGCGTTAGCTTCCCTACACTTTGCCATCGTCCTCCCACGAGGCTCCAGTATGGATGGGCATAGAATTGTGGTACCTGAACCACCTTACTGGTTGATTCATGTCTCTAGGAATTAGTCCAAAGTAAGCCGGACAGGTCTCGTCATAGTACCTGAAGCAATCAGCTAAAGGGACGGAACCATTGGTGTTTTTTTTTCTGATATCTTACCACTGGTGGTTGCCTGGCTTCTCGACGTCAGTCAGGTCAACCACAAAAGGCATCCGCGTGATGACGATGTAGTTGCGGGTCTGCAATGTTAGCACTCGGCAATTGGAATCGTAATGCTAGGGATATCCGTACAATAGCACAGTCATGAAACATCCCGCCGACGGGTCGGAACTCAATGTCGCGCCGGTATGTGACTTTGCCGTCTTTGTCAATGATATAGATCGCAATCTGTTGTCCCGGTAAGTGAGCCAAGTGAGACATTCAAGATTTCATTCTCAGTACCTCTGGACTGTCCAGCCCTTCCATCTCGTACCCAAAGGCCACCAAATCGCCCGTCTCAGGGTCAACCTAATAAGATGTGAGCGGTAACATCAACGACATGAACGCGGGTATTTCTCTTTGGAACGCACGTGTGGGTGCGCCGTGAATGGCTTCCTGGGATCTACCTGGCCGGGAAATGCATCGTGGCCGATAGTGCGTAGGCTATCTGTTTCCTTGGTCAATAGCCTACTTACGTGGAAGGGCAAGGACACTTACTGGGATCCAGCTCGTAGGCTGGTCCATTCTCCCCAACTGCCAGTAACTTGTTTGCGTGAAAGAGCACATTTACATTAGCTGCGGCGTCCAGGACGGCGCGAACACATGGATGATGCGAGAACGGGCTCTTGTTCATTCCGAAAAGAGCTCTGCCGGCTTTCCTCTCGGCGACAAGGCGCTCCGTCATAACATAGCGCTGCTGGAAAGAAACCTTCCCATCCTTGAATCTGAAGGCGCTTATATTCCCGTCTCCGTCAAAGGGGATTTGCTTAGCCCCATCGAGATAGTAGTTTCTCTCGTAGTAGGGATCCTGCATCACCTGTGTAGTGCTATCAGCAATCTGAAATGACTGATTCGATGCATCAATATTGACAAACCCTGAAGAAAGTACCGTCTAGTTCGGTCGGAATATTCCCCTCAACCTCAACGTCTTCGATATCGACATGAGCTCTGAAAGGACGTGATACTGCAGAAAAGTCAGAGAAGTTGCCTGTTTTAACCATCTTGGAAAGTAGAACAACTGCGTGTTATTTAGAAAAGTTGGGTGTAATTGAAAAGTTTTGTGAAGAGACCAAGTAGCGAACGGCCAAGATATAAGAATAAACTCTTCTTATATGTCAGGGCTTATTGAACAGTTGAATTCGCAGTTATCTCAACAAGCAGCCGTGGGGTGACCCTTACAGGAACCGACCCAAGCCGGGGATTATTGAGCCACATGAGAGAGCCACATGCCCCAACCAGGCAAGTGAGCCACACGGGTAAACCGGAGGACAGGGCCTGAATAGCCACTTACCGAATGTTCCGATGGGCTTAGGCTTCACTCGGGTTTGAGCCACATTCGTTCTGCGATTCCATGTTGTCGCAGCCAGACCGGCCTACGGTACCAGCAAATTGGCACGGATTTCATAAATAAAATCCCCAAACAACTGTGTAGGCGATGTCGGATCTGGTACCTTCTATTGTTTGCTGAATTTTATACTCGAACTCTCTTACATGTTAGGCGTATTTCTATGACCAGGCGGTCTTCAGGTCTCACTCTCAAACACGGCGGTTTCGTCATCATGGCAACTTATACTACCCAAAGACCTCCATACGACACGGAGCTCATGTCCTTCATTCCACCTGTTCCCGAAATCGCGTTTGCGCACACTAAACAAGACTTAGTCCAACATCGTCAATTCTTCGGATTAGTCACCGACCCAAACCGCGAGAGGATCATCTCTGATCCCGACATAACTGTGACCGAGCGGATCATCCCGGGCGCTCGTGGCGATATCACACTTTCAGTCCTCACGCCCAAGAAACCAAAAGGTTCCCGCATCGACCGTCAGTCTGGAATACTACATTTGCATTCAGGGGGGTTGACCGCTGGAAACCGATTCACTGGAGCTGAGCTCGTGTGGGAATGGGTCAAGGAACTGGACGCCGTAGCCGTCTTGGTGGAGTACCGACAGCCACCTGAGCATCCTTTTCCAGCACCTCTGGAAGACTGCTATGCCAGTCTGCTCTGGATGGCAGAGCATGCAGATGAACTGGGTTTTAACTGTGAGCTTTTGATGATCGAGGGCCAATCTGCTGGTGGGGGACTTGCAGCTGCGACGGTGTTGATGGCTCGAGACAAGGATGGCCCCAAAGTTTGTGCGCAGCTGCTGTGCACTCCGATGCTGGATGATCGACTTTTGAGTATGTCCTGCCAACAATACCCTGTTGGCGGAACTGAACACCCACGCAAGCGCCTTTTTATGGCAATGTTACCTTGGCGCCGATTCAGGACAGGAGGGCGTCAGCCACTTGGCAGCTCCCGCAAGGGCAACGGACCTCTCAGGTTTGCCCCCTGCATATATCGATGTCAGCTCAGCAGAGCCTTTTAGGGACGAAGCTGTTGCCTATGCCCTTGCATAATGCTAAAGCTAGCGGCTTGGCAGGCAAAGACTTTTGAAAAGGTCCTCCGTATAGTTGTTAGAGATGTTACATTGACGCTGACTGGCTAAGTGAAAGTCCTTCCTTTACTTTCCCGTTGCTTGGAAAGCAAATGGTATGTTGCGTTGTATTTATGCTTATTTTACTGATGAAAGGAATAAGGGTTGGCCGGTGATTCGCTACCTCTTGGCAAGACAGACAAATCGACAGGCAATAGTTACACTTAATGACCACACAGCTCCCATGCGTCTCAATTAATCAATTGGAAGCCCAGTTGGCCGTATCCGAGGGGAGTCATCACTAAAACGTCTAATTTATCGGCGATAACTATAATGGGACTCCACCTAGGATCGCGCCTGTGGCGACAGGGCAGACCGGGGTATGAGTGGACGGCAGGTAGTCCCCCGGAAGTGAGGACTTCTATATTAGTGATGCGCCAAGTTGCGAGATGCATATTGGCATTTATAATTGCCTTTTCGGGGCAGGGTCTTACCATAATACTGACGGGCCTTGGAGAAAGTCGCCTGCCTGAACTACGGAGGAAGTACTTCTGTATCTTAAGAGGCAATATTGCGAGGTATGTATACTTTTAACTGCTGTTTTAGGATTCCCGTCCTAATAATACCTGCTGTAATAATGCAAAGCGGGCAGCAGGTAATACGAGGCAAGACTGTGTAAGGCAGAACTGTGCCATTCACCAGATCAAAAAGGCGTGATGCTAATTGAAATACTGAGGTGAGGATAAGTATAAATAAGGATACATGCTTCCATCTAATCTGGCCTTTGTTCAGTAGGCCTTTCTACTTCTTTCCACATCTAATAGCAGCAAAGACACTCTTTGCATCAGAACGCCAAACATGGAACTCACAAGACTTCTTGCTTGCCTGGCTGTTGCCTTGCCAGTTGCCTATGGTGCCCCTACTGAGACAGCGGAAAGCCTTCATCCCCGGATACTCGATGCCATGAAGCGCGACCTGGGCCTCGACGCTGAGCAGGCTGTTTCTCGTGTCAAGCGAGATATCGACGCCTCTGAGCTCATTGGTCAGCTCCAGGCCTCCGCTGGTGCTTCTTTCGCTGGCGCCTGGATCGGCGAGCACGATGAGAAGGTCAATGTTGCTGTCACTGATGAAACTTCGGCTGAAAAGGTGACCGCTGCCGGAGGCAACCCCGTCATCGTGTCCAATACCCTATCCAAGCTCGAGCAGGCCCAGGAAGCTCTTGATAACACCGACATCGAGCAGGCTTCTATAATGAGTACTGGCGAGACGAAGTCTGGTATCGCCAGCTACTATGTCGATGTGGCCAGCAACAAGTTAGTCATCGAGGCTCTCGCTGATAGCCTCGACCATGCCAAGGAGCTCGCTAAGAAGGTTGGCCTCTCCGAGTCTGAGTTTGAAATTCGCACAGTTGAAGAGATGTTCACCACTAGTGCGATTAACGTCTACGGCGGTGATGCCTACATCATCGGAGGAAACACCAGATGCTCTATCGGTTTCAACGTCGGTTATGGCTTCGTCTCCGCTGGACACTGTGGCAAGACAGGTGACAAGGTGACCTACAACAACCAGGCTATGGGTAGTTTCGCTGGTTCTACCTTCCCTGGATCGGGCGACATGGCTTACATCAAAGTTGACACCAAAACATTCAACCTCATGGCTCGCATCAATCCATGGGGAGGAAGCGACAAAAACCGCCTCCCTGTCAGGGGTAGTAAGGAATCCGCCGTCGGAGCCAGCATCTGCCGCTCCGGCTCCACCACCCAAGTCCGCTGTGGTAAGGTCACAGCCCTGAAGGTGACTGTCAACTACTCTCAAGGACGTGTTACTGGAATGACCCGAACCAGCGCCTGCGCTGCAGGCGGTGACTCTGGTGGTTCTTTTTACACTGGTGATCAGGCCCAGGGTATTACCTCTGGAGCATCGGGCAACTGCGAGGCGGGTGGCACAACCGTCTTCCAGCCAATCAATCCGGTTCTGTCTGCTTACAACGTTGGTCTACGCAAGGCGGCTTAGATAAGATATACGGAGTAGAGCGTATGTAGATAACTCTCTCTATTACTAAAGTAGAAATTATTAGTATTTATATTTATCAAGTTAATTATTAAAATAAATATAAATACTTTTGTTTTTAAATCTATACAGATTCTATATAACTCGAATTAATACTGGGGAAATATAAAAAGCTACGTTACAATCGGCTCCGGTACGACCGGTAACTGTTGTTAATTAATCGTGGGTATTATATAACTATAGCGTGTTGTTAGTTTAGAACCCCTTGTTGCTACGTGCTTGAGGCGTTTTCACCTAAGTCTAGGCATTGATTACCGCCTTATCTCACACGATCGTCTCGTGTTTCGGATATACACCATGTTATAGTGAGGTTATTTCTGCTCAAAGCGAGCATAGACACCTCTTGGATTATTGCTGGATGTCTGGAAGTAATTGATGTTAGCCCCGGCTTGATTTCATAATTACTTTGCCTTTAGCGCCCACGTAAGTCGCTTGGTCGTGTGCCGGCGTCAGCAGCCCTACCAGGGGGATCGCTCTTGGCGTTATTTTTGGTGGCCCCTCGCGTGGAGATATCACGGCGTTCGTTACGAGGCTGACCACGTTATCTCAAGCTGCCGCCAATAGATCGAGCTGACTTGATTGTCTCTTGCCACGGCTGACCATACCTGAGAAGCCAGGATCTCCTCGCGTTTCCCTATTACGAGCGACAGATGGAAAACATTCGTTTTTTGGCTGTCAGCGATCACGACTGCCTGTTTCAAATAAGAGCCGACAATGCGGGAACTGGACATGTTACTCATTTATCTTACGGTGGAGCTTTAATACTTTGATAGCCGTCCGTCTAAAGGATTCTGTATTCAGTTGGATAAGGCCAACTTGAGTAGGTGCCGGGCCAGTGTCGCCGGTAGTCGTAGGAGTTGTCTTATCGGTGTAATTACCAGCAGCGTCTGACAAGCGGCCGGGGCGACAAGAGATTTAATGGAATGTGCGCTTGTCGCTGTGCCTTATAACCCTTCTTCAATATGTTCCAGAAATCTTCTACACCTATATTAATGCCATCAGATTATTATGAAAGTTGCTTGAATAATTTATTGTTTATAATCAGCCTGCTGACACACGACTGCGAAATAGGCTAGATCACCACACTTCGCGCATTCATGTCAGCCCAGTCTTCCTTGTGCCACCAGGGGAAAGGGGAAGGGTCAGCTCTACTCGGTTATGCCGAACTAGTATGCGGTAGATCCGTCGGAAGGAGGGAGCCCTGTGGCACTCTGAAAAGCCCTGCATCTTTTATCTTATTAAATATACATCCTTCTCTTTGCATTTACTTTTCTACTTGAATACCCAACCAATCTATCATGTCCTGTTACTAGATGTTATCTACATACCCTCTTTCTATTTCCCTTGTTCGTTTTTGTTCTCGAGACAATTTATCCTGTTGACAAAATGATCGCCTTCAGTTGCTTGTTGTTTATACCCCTTCCTCAAGCGACCGCAGCCAGGTCCACCACGGATAACGACCAGAGTACCCGCAACAATGTCATGTACGGGCTGCAAGCCCGCCACTTCGAATCTAGATCTGATCTCGCCGCAGGAGATGATCGATTTCCTAAGACTCTCCCGTCCTCAACGGTACCTAATATAAAGAAGAGGGGCAAGAAGGCAGCACCAATAAAAGCAGCTCCCGCCAAGAAGGCTGCTCCCCCTAAGAAAGGCCCAGTTACCAAGCAAGCCAGTGCCCTAAAGAAGCAAACTTCTACAAAGAAGGTCACCCCAAAGAAGGGAACAAGTACCAATAAGAGTGCTGCGCCCAAGAAAGCTGTTGCTCTAAAGAAGGGTCCTACCATCAACAAGGGCGCTGCCGCCAAGAAGGCTGCTCCCAAGAAGCCTACTCCTAAGAATTCCGCCACCAGGAAAGGAAATACTCCCAAGAAAACTTCTCCAAATAAGGCGGTCAACAAGAAGGGCGTTGCTGCGAAGAAGGCTGCTCCCGAGAAACCCGGTACCAAGAAAAACATCGTTGCAAAGAAAGGAAATACCGCTAAGAAAGCCACTCCAAAAAAGCCTGCCAACAGAAAAACCCTTACTGCAAAGAAAGGGAACACTGCTAAGAAAGCTTCTCTGAAACAGGCCGCCGCTAAGAAGGCAGCGCCCAAGAAGTCTACCACCCAGAAGGGAGCTACTGCCAAGAAAGCTACTTCGAAGAAGAGCGCCCCTAAGAAGAGTTCTATAAAGAAAGGCAGTACTCAGAAGAAGGGTGCTCCCAAGAAGCATTCTGTAAAGAAAAGCACTACTGAGAAGAAGGGTGCTTCTAAGAAGGCCGTATCTAAGAAGGGCGCTGCTACCAAAAACTCAGCTAACAGGAAGGGTACTACTAGAAAGAAAGGCAGTTCTGCCAGGAAGTCTCTTGCCCAAAAGAAGAATGCTGGTTCCAGAAAGTATTCCCCAAAGCCGAAGAACAGCAGCGAAGGCTCATTCTGGAGCTGGTTCTAAGAAATCGCATAAGAAGGGCTCCTCTAAACGACTCGGCAGTGGTCTGAAGAAGAGTAATCAAAGCAAGAACAAGAACCTTAGCAAGGGTAGCATTAACACGACTCATACGAAAGGCGGAAAAAATGTCGGTATTAAAATGATGAACAAGGATAAGAAGACTAACAAGGGAACCAAGAACATTAAGGACAAGAAATTCACCAGCGGTTCCAGGAACACCAACAGGAAAATAGTTGGCAATATCAGCAACAGCAAAAAGGCTAGCAAGAGCTCCAAAAGCACTGCGGTCAAGCCACTAAACAAGAACTCGAAGAAGGGCTCAAAACCAAGCAGGAAACCTGGGCAGGACTACAAGGCAATCAAGAACAAGAAGGCTATCAATGGCGACAAGGATAAAACTCCTGGAGACAAGTCCGGCAGCGCTAGCAAGAGCGGTATGATGAGCAGCGCAAAGAAGAAAGTCGGGAAGGAGTTGGATAGTAAAGTCGACAGCAAGGTGAAGACTTCCCAGAGCGCCAAGAGTATCAATACCGCAAAAGCTGTGGAGAAGGCTAAGAGCGTTGATGGCACGAAGAGTGACTCGGGGGGTGCGTTGTTCTGCTCGATCAGGCCGCGTACCATGGGCGAAGATCCCGAACCTGTCGATAAAGGTAAAGATGGTGAGTACAAGGTGAAAGAGGATCAATACGTGAATGCGGCGAGTCTTTGGGAAGGCGAGAAGGTGCACTTGGATGACATGAGCGGGTGTACGGGCACTGTTCTTTGGGACGAAGAAAACATGCCCTCAGTTCAACATATCTTTGTTGGCAAGGAGAAAGACCACGCGAAAGTCTTGCCTGAGAGCCTTGAAAAAGGTGGAATTAAGCCTCAACATGCTCACATCGTGGCGGCCAACGACGAACGGTTCGAAACGGTCAAAAAGGAGCTTGTGAGCAAATACCCGCATCTTGACGACGCACCCGACACCCCGGCGGACAAGCAAAAGATCCAGCGGATCTCATATACGCCGGAGAAAGCTGGCCAGGACGGTTCATCCAGCACAAGGCACCGATTCACAGTCACTGCTGGCGATGCAAATAGGAAAGTGGAAGCTTCCACATATAAGGCAGACCTGAGCGGATGTTAGCCTGGAGAGACTCACTAAACTACACCAGACATCATCTTCTCATTCCACGTGGGCAAGTTTCGTATGCATTAGTTTGGCGCTATCGGTGCTAACACTTGGGTTTATTTTCGCAGCATAAACGGCGAGTTTTCTTTGGTAATGTGCGTGCGGCTGAGGCTTCTGGTCTATTTCGATCCCAAAATATCGGGAGGGAGTATCGTACCTAGGTGAAACATCTGATTAGAGCGACTAACAAGAATATCAAAAGGGCGTCAATACCTTTTCTGTTGAATCTCATGTTGATAATGCACGGTGAGGAGACACACAGAGCTGCCTGGGTAGATACCTACAGTTCCTTTGGTAGAACGGTTGGACGGCATGACGGGTTCAGGAAGGACATAGTAATGCGCGGATGGCAACGTTACCTTAGGCAACACTAAGTTCTTATTAATTGAAACGTTGAGATTGAAAATCCTCGTAACAGGTTTAGCCTGGTTTACATGGCTGGGGTGCGTTTATTACCCTTCCACAACTTGTCACAGTGTTGTTTACATGTACCTAAACATAAACCATCACCGAGACCTGCAACGCGGCCACGAAAGTATAAACGATTTGTAGCAAGCAATGTCCAAATAGTAATATCTTTAGGGCATTATAGGCCCTTGAAAATCTGTAAGAATTAAGATCCTGGAAGAATAACGAGTACATCCTCCAGTGCCTTATCCAATGCTTTGCCTTGAATGGTAATAATAAATCAACGGGCTAGATGCGGACTGTCATTTGATACGACTGCACATACACGACAAAGAGCATCTCTTTACTCCGCATAGAAAAAAATCAAAAATTAACGAACTTAATGCTGTTTAAGGCCCATGTCATACACCCAAAAGCAAACATTTAGACAGCAATGAGCTCAAGCTTGACTTTTAACTTTGAGACAGGTCGCGATTGCAGCCGTTGCATCCATATGTTGTATTTTGAAAACCTCGAGCCGACTAAAGATTATTAATTTATTATGCTCCTTGCACTAAGTGCCCAAAATGTTTCACAGTGCTAGAAGTCTCAAAATGCCTCAATTTATAGCTGAATATGGAAGGTGTGAAACATTCTTAACGTGAAGTGGTGCCCAAATCAAACATAAGAACCCGGAGCCAGACTTATATTATTAGCATCGTCCTCTTGGGAACAACATACACACTAGATTGAGCTGCCACAAAAAGGCTGCCATCGCTATTTGGCCTGTAACATCTCAATTTCCTGAAACGTGTGGTGACAGTGGACAAAGATCGCCGCTAACATACACGGATGTGGCAAGTGATAAGAATAAGGGGCTTGGATTGGAGACACCCATCCTGTTATGGGATGATATCCTCTTGGTGTCAGCAGACGAACCAAAAGTAACACTCGTTTTTGCTAATAGGGAAGTTCCAACAACAGACTCTGCGCTTCTTAAATAGAGTATCAAAGTCATCCTTTCTTCAATGTTCCTTAATTGTGCATCTATTTGAGTCGTCGTCCCTAGGTGACCACATCATCCTCTGCTTGTTTGTATATTGTTACAGTGAACTCTATCACCATGAGACAGTCTATCCAGGCGCTTATATGTTTTGCTACTATAGCTGCAAGCTACGAACTGCCTGAAAACCTGAGAACACTTTACAATAGACACAAGGTTAGTGGTAGGCAAGGGTCGCGTTTTGATTAGAAGTACTAAACCTAAGTAGGCTGGATCCTGCTCCAACCGACTTTCCGAACCTTTCGACGGAGGAGCCAGTTACTGCGGTGATATTCAGAATGCTATCTTCCTCAAGAGTAATGGCGGATACGACAATATGGACATTGATTGTGATGGCAGCAACAACTCTGCTGGAGATTGCGCAAATGACCCTACTGGTCAGGGGCAGACTGCCTTTAAGGACACTGTTCGCAATTACGGCATAGACGACCTAGACGCAAATCTACATTCATACGTCGTCTTTGGTACTGAGTCGTTCCGTCCACAGGACCATGGTCTCAAGCCTCTTAGTGTCATGGCAGTGGTTTGCGATGACAAAGTCGTGAGTGAACCCTTCCCTTCACTCTTTTACAAACAAATTCTCAGATCAATTAGTTCTATGGCGTTTGGGGTGACACAAACGGCTTCACATCAACTGGCGAGGCATCTATAGCCCTTGCCCAGTTGTGTTTCCCCAACGAAGGCCTCAATGGCAACAACGGCCATGACCCCAACGATGTCCTGTATCTTGGATTTATTGGTGACAACACAGTGCCAGGGGCTCAAGGTGCTATTTGGGATGCTAGTAGTCGCGAGCAATTCCAGGAGAGCATCAGAGCTTTGGGTGAGGGATTAGTCGCAGGTCTTTCTGCGTAAGAACAGTGCTAGCGCCAAGGAAAGTGCACTGTTCATCTATGTCTGTAGTCTCTTAAGTACGCGTTTATATTACTCGGAATACCCTCACCACCGTGGCCACATGTTTGTATCTGGTCTCCCACCTTCTTAGACATTGAAGAAGGGCAGATCAAGGGAAAGACATGCATGTGGAAAAATTGCGGCAAAAACGGGGCGTATAGTATCCGTCCATACTTTTTCATTTGCGGACAGTGATGCTTGATATCTAATATATTCTAGAACTTTCTTCCTACTATCCTTGGGGATAGTAGGCTTTATTTCTCAGCCGTAGAAATGATCCTCCTCTTGCTTTCCATGTTGATTGAACCCAAATATGAATTTACCCATGGCCTGAACCTTTTATCGTGGCTGATTTTCCCCATCACTTCCTTGCGTTGGATTCGTTCTGTTAGTCGATCTTCATAGAAGTCTATATGCTCTTTGGTTATTCTTGGCATGGTAATACTTTCATAGTGCAAGGTTATTGCTTTAGCTGTATCCTGCTCGCATACAACAACACTGGATAGGAAGCTACAAGAGAACTAATAAAGTTAATGCCACTGCGTTACCTCATCCCATTCTGTGCTTCTGGAGCTGTCGCCCGTAGTCCTACTTGACAAACGCCTGGCAACCTCACGAGCATCCTTGACGCTAATCATAAACCTCCGAGAGACATCACCAGCCTCTTTGGCCTTGTCTGTCAGCGCCCGAAGGACACGGTAAGTGGCAATCGTGGAGTCGTTTTCGCCCAAAAAGCTGAGCCGATCTCGCACAGCCTTCTTGGGCTCTGTCTGACCAGTATTGAGCTCAAAGTATCTATAATGCATGCTGGGTGCCTCCCTTGTTTGGTGGCGGAGGTACAGCGTCCATGCAAGCTCAATTGGAAGCTGGCCCATTGCGTTGTCCTGCATCAGCACTCGAGGATGGAGCCGGGCCAACTCCTCCAACAGTTCCCGCGATTGTTGATTTTCTCCGTCGATGACGAGATGGTGTGTCGGCGTCTGCCCCGAGCCGTCAAACATGGTGTAGGCTTCAGATGGCATGTAGCGATGGATCAGCTGGAGCTGCTTGATGCTCCTCCCTCCACGGTTAACATAGCTTGCCAAGGGAGTGAGCCCAGTCGGACCGGTCGAGCTCCGATCAGTAAACAAATTGGACAGGAGGCGCTTATCGACCATCTTCAGCAACGCTTCGATCTTGTCAAGATCCTTCTGCTCCCTGTCCGGTTCTTCCTCTGTATTTGACTGCGGACCCCGGAATAACAAGGCATGAAGTATGTTCTCTCCATCGTTGTTGCGCGTGGTCTGCTCGGCGCCCGCGTCGATGAGTAGCTTAGCTGTCTCGACCTGGTGGTAGTAAAAGGCGAGCCAGAGAGGGTCGAAACCGCCGTTTGACTTCTTGGTCAGGCTGTTGGGCACGCACTCGAGCATGTACTGCACACGGTCAACCGCCTTGTCGTGCTCACCCCAATGCTTGCCCCTGAGCACCGCGCAGTGGACGGCCAGGTGCTTCCGGAGGCCGAGCCAGGTCGTAACGGCCTTCTTCCAGGTCCCGTACTCCTTTTCGATGCGCTGGATCGACTTGGCGTGCGTGTTCCGTTTCCCAAACGTGTCGTACATTCTGACGCACGTGTCTCCCTGCCAGAAGTCGACGACGCTGCGGTCCTCGTCATGGACGGCGTTGATAAATGGCGATGTGGTGTTCTCACGCCAAGGCGTCGCCTGGGCCCGCTGCTGCTCGCCGCCCGCCTCGGCCGCCCAGTCCGACTTGTGCGTGCCGCGGATTTTGAGGCCTTGGTAGTACTTGGGCTTCTCGCGCTCCTCTTCGGGGATGGCGATGCTCCCAAATATTTTGGAAATGGGCATTCCCGCGCCAGTCTCTGTGATGAGAAGCTCTACCAAATCCCATTTTCCTTGAGCGATGTAACGGGACAAGTGGTCTGACAACTGGTTGTGCCACGAATCGTCAAGTCCAGATGTGCCGTTTCCTTCGTCGAAAGCAGAAATATTGGCCTCTTTGGCAACTCGTAGCATGAACCTGATGAGATCTACGTTCTGGGATTCGAGGGCAAAAGCGAGGAGGTCACTCTTGACCCAGAAATCATCTACTACGCTACTAAAAGCGCTCTATCCCAGGGTTAGCATCGTTCTCCTCTTGAGCGAAAGTGCTATGGGGGACGTACAGAGGGGCTACTCCATCTTCTCCAGTAGAAACTTGGCTCCCAAACCTTGGACTCTCCACGGTGAATGTCGCTCGCACAGACGTTGATCGGTTTCACAACAGCCCACACAGGCGTAGCCGCTACAATCAAATTAGCGGGCGTAGTCTCAGTCCCAGCTGATGCACTCAGCGCGCCGAGGTCTTCAATGGTGAAATCATCATCCACCAACTCCGAGGTGAGGAGTATGTCGTCACCGCCGTGTTGCTCTTCGTCCTCGTCGTAGTCGCTCGCATCCTCGGCACCACGAATCCGGAATCGACGCTTCGGGATTTTCTGTGACCCCTCTGGGACGTATTGGGCTGCTGTGATGTCAAGAATAATCTGGGCAAGGCTCAGGTTGTTTTTCACGACTGCAATGGTGAATACGTTGAGTCCCCATGAGTCCGTTGTGGAGATAAGAAGGGGCGGGAGTTTGCCCCCTTCCCCGTCCTCTCTCTCGTGCAGTGTCAACGACTTGACAGTGTCGGCATCTCCCTTCCAGGCGGCTTCGAACCTGATCACCGCGTTAGTCTCTTAATCACAAGAGCAATTTGTCATGATTTTACTTACAAACCGGTGTAAGCCTTCTCCTTCTCTCCATCGAGCCGCTTGTCGTTGTAGTATTCACTGACATAATATTGCCTGATGTCAAACTCGTCTCCGTCATCAGAACCTTGTCGATCGTTCTTTGGGCTGTCTTCCTCCTGCTTCTTTTTCAGTTTCGGATGTAGTTCATAAAACTCCTTTGCGCCTCTCTTCACCAGCTCCTTCTCCAAATCCTCTAATTCCTTGATGCGGGCCTCCTCCAGCTCTTCTTGCTTGGGGTCAATTTTTGTATTATTCCTCTTATTGTTTTCGTCGCATTCCTTCTGTATGGCGGCGGCGGCTAGCTTGGCAAGCTCAATGTCTCGGGAGACCATTGTGTGTCTGTAGCTGCCAGGAGCAAGGCCTTCGAGATATTCCTCGTCGGGCTGCAACTCCGGCATCTTGCGAACTTCTGGCTTCTCGGGCTTCCTTCCGGCTCTTTTGGACTTGCACGTCGCAATCTCTGCCCTGACATAGTCCAAGACAGTTTTCGGGGTCGACCGAGCTGATTCGTCGTTGAGGAGCATGCCGGCGGAGAGGTTAAGAGTGTTGACATCAGCCCCGGCATCAAGGAGGGCAAGCACAATCCCAGGAGTGGGTGACCTGGCGGCGTGGATGATGGGCTGTTTTATCTCGGTGTTGTAGGTTGCCATTAGTTCCTTGTGGTCCCAGCTCATATGTTCTTCCTTGGCTTCCCGTAGCCTTGCCTCGCGGAAATCTTCGAAAGTAAAGGATGGCTTCACGCCGAGCTCTAGTAAGGCCGAAACAAGCTCCTCATCTTCTTTGAAGATTGCCGTCACGAGAGCGGTCCGATATCTTGGCGTGTAAGTATACCCAACGTTGACCATGTGGTTCAGACCAGCCTGGGTCGAGGGGAGGTCACTGTCCGCCATGGCCTTCAACGCTGCAACATTTTCCAGAATAACAGCTCCGTGAGCGGCAGACACCTGGTTCATGTCACTTTGACTAGGCTTGGCACCCAGTCCGACAAGGCTTTTAATTATCTCGGCGGCCTGCTCGCTGGGGAGTCGACTCGCGAGAACTAGATTGAGGATTGCGGTGTTGACCGAGCCGCGGTTGCTCTTGTGTTTTATTGGGAGCAAGATGTCTGCTCCAAAAGACGAAACAAGTGTTTCGATGGCCTCGCGGTGGCCGCCAAGGATGGCGACATGTAGCGGGCTCACCGGTGTGTCCCAGGCGAGGACGTTCATGTCGAAGAAGTCGGGGCCATATGGGTCGTCCTCTAGTGCCTCCTCTTCTTTGCTGACTTTGATATATGAGCCTTCCGTCATGGCATCCTCTGAATTTTCAGACTCGGTGTTGGCATCAGACTCATCTATCATTTCCACGTCGGAATCAGCGTCAGACTCTGGGTCAGATGTGACATCCTTCATGGGGCTATCGGCGCCTTCGGGCTCCTGGCGGGCCCGTTCTTTCTTGCGAGCATCTTCCTTCTCATCCTCCATCTCTTCGTTTTCCTCAGATTTCTCCGCGATTACCTTGATGATGTCGGCTCTGCCAATGGAAGCCGCCATGTGGAGGGACGTGAAGCCGTCTTGAACACGAGAGGTGATTCGCGCGCCGCTGTCAATGAGCACCTTGACAATATCCAACTGGCCAGACATGACAGCCAAGTGCAGCGGCATCCTGCCAGTATGGTCGCGATGGTTTACATCGTTCTCCTCGACAGAACACCACCGCTTGATGCCATCGATATCCCCGGCGGTTATGAACGTGCAAAGCTCCTGAGTATTGCCAAGGTAAGCCATGTCGGTCCAGTCGTCGGCCGTCAACGGGTTGAAACTCCCAATCGCCTGCCTCCCAGGGTCGTCTTTCATGAATTCAATCTCGCCGTGAACATAGATCTTGCTTTCTTCCTCGGAAACCTTTAATTCCTCGTCTGACTTTGGCTCTGGGCAACTATCACAGCAGTCGTGGACAATGGATTCGACGTCTCCAATGAAGCAGGGGTGGCGGTGGAGACTGACAGTCCTGTCCTTCTTGTGATTCCATTCTGCGTTCAAGAGCATGTCCTTGACGTAGAGAAGCTTCTCAACTTTCTTGGCGTTGTAGTAAGGGCCGTAGGGTATGGTGAAGGTGTGGTAGTTCGATACCTCGTCCTCGACAACCCACTCAGCCACATCCTGGGGATCCTGGTCTTTAATGTTACCGGGCAACTGGTTCCTCGAGTTGCGCGAGCTGTCAAGGGGTGGGCGCCCACGTTCTTTGCGTCGTTGGTTCATGTAAGACTCTCGGTCAGACTCGGTAGGAAGCCGCTCGAGGATAAGAAGGCGAGCCAGACCAAGAGTCCGCACAAGCGAACGTTCATAGACCGTCGGGTCGATGCGCTTCCTATCAAAATCGGCGTAAAAGATCTCAAACCCGCGGCGGGCGTATTTGGCAAGGCGGCTCTCGTAGCTCGGGCTACGTCGGGAGAGGTCAATCGTGTTAGTCTGCGAGCAGAAGCTGGTGATGCCGCGCGGTGTCGCGTACACCTGGGTCCCGTCAAACGCGAAGCAGCTGCAGTCTACGTCGAAGCCGGTCAGGATCTCGGAGACGGACTTGTAGAGGCGCAGGACGATCTGGATGTGGCGGGTCGGGTACTGGCTCACAATGGTGATGGCGTTCTTGGTGCGGATCGTCGTCGTCTCGGCCAGGATGCAGTTGCGCACGCACGACTCAATCTTGGCAATCTTCTCGATGGCGGCCTGTTCGTCGAGGCCCCAGATGAAAAGATCGACGTCGCTCGAGGGCGCGAGCTTCTCGTGATAGTACTCTCGCAGCGCGCGCTTTGAGACCTTGTACTCATCTGAGACGGGCAACATTGCCGTGACCACCGACGAGCCCGCCGCGACAACGTTCGACCAGTCCAGATCGTCGAGGGACTGCTCAGAAAAGATCTTGAAGTTGTTCTTGAACTCTTCCAGGGACTGCGTCATGGCCGGGGCGCCATGCGGGCGTCTGGCCTCGGGCTTCAAGGGCATGATATATCTGCCGGCCTCGGAATCCTCATCTGGGTTCCGAGCCCTGATCTTGGGGACACCTTCATGGCCATTGAAGACTGGCACTGCGTTCACTAGGGGATCTTGGATAGCCGGGTGCTCGCGGTGCTGGGCAAAGCCCTCGCGCAGTTTGGCCTCGTACTCATTGTACGGCTTGACGAGGTCTCGGAGCTGGGCCGAATCATTGCGCGAGAGATGTCCAATGAAGTGGTGATGAGCTGCCGGTACCTGCGGGAGCTGGAAAGACATGGTGTCTGCGGTTTCAGATGAAGACGAGCTGGTCAATTGAGCAAACCATCTAGAGCGATAGCTTGGAGAATAAACCAAAAGAGCGAGTGGGTGCGGATGTAATCATTATGACACTTATATATGCTATTGATCAGAGCTAAAGACGTGGGCCGCCAGCAGGCAACTAACAATCAAATACGCCAATGCCATTCGTTTGGTGACAGCGAATGATGATCTGAATAAGCACGATCCGAGAGGCGCGCGTTAATCTGGGGCTGCGACCGTTAATCAGATGTTTCAACCGTGAACTAGGCATTACGACCGTGAACTAGGTACTCCATAGGCAGTCGTCGTAGGACATACCAAAGGTCCAAATCAGCCCTACTCTAGTTCCAATAGCGGTCGCAATGTCATCTTGGCTTTGGTATTGAGTGACGATCAGCGCTATTAATGCCTTGGGGAGCTTAAAATAGAAGCAGATCGCTCGCTGAAGACCTTCTCATTGGCCCACGCGTAATGCTTCCAGGCTCCATACCAGACTCGGAGTGGGACAAAGAACCTTTACCTCCATATATGCTGAATATTGTATCAGAGTAAGATAACTCTGCTGTTTCTGCCTAGGCTGGCATGAACTTTCCCCGTTAATAACGAGATATGAGTCTCTGAGCCACTCATTAATAGCACAAGGGATCTAACGTTCCATGACTAATTCGATAATACCTCCAATAATGGATTCTTAGGCAGATTAGATTACGATCGAAATAAAAGTACTTGAGAAGGGAGATCTTGTAAAATATGACGAAGCAAAAGACAGGAATCAATTTTCATGGCTATCGATGTGTGTTTGGTACTCTAGCCTTGTTCCTGGCCTTGAACTTTTTACATTTCCAAAATAGCACTTGTCACTTACGATCTCTAGTCATTAGCTCAACACTCAAGATATGGTACTTGAGGCGCGTGATACAAATGGAAATGTTAGGATTACAACGTTTCGTAATTCTCCTATGACCAAGGTGTACGGAGACTATATTATATCCCAAAATAATTCCAAGGGCATATCTCTACCTTCACTATCCCATTCTAACTCGACCCTGCGATGCTTCTCCAGAGATTTCAAGTATCTGATATAATTCTCCTTTACCCATGGCTTTAGCCATCTGTTGATACACGATTCAGAGTTCTCGGATTCATTCTCAGTGTGTCCCGCGGCTAATCTTTATAGCCCCCTTATTATTGTTTGCGTTGTCCGGCGCCGCTTTTAGTCTGTGAGAAGTGCAAGAAATTCTCCTGCTGTGCAACCAGTAAGCGATATCCTATGGGCTAGACAGCCAAGTTGCACCGCCCGGAGTCGCATGTGGGTGTCTAGGTTGCATTCTTCTTTTGCCTTGCTTTCTGCCTCTCCTTTAGTCCGCACAACAAGGCAGACACTTCATAACTCGTATCTTCTCCCACTGTTCCCATATCCTCGTGGCCACCCAGTCATTGCAGCCTCCATTCCTCTCCTGTGTCAAGTTTGCAACAGCACCTGTACATCCCGTTTCTCTGCCCGACAACCTGCCTTGGCTTCCATCACTCCAACTCCCTTTTTTTCATTCTGCTGCCCCATCTGCAACCTGTATGCTGGTATTTTCCAGTCATCTCCTTTTCTTGATGGTTAGCCATTGGTTTACTCCAAGCTACCGATAAGTATACCTGCGAGCAACAGCGACGCGTCCTTGAGCCCCGTCCTCATCACAGGCGGCTATGGCTTCGCCTAAACGCGAATGCTGCCTTACTCTGTAGGTACTACAGCGGTCTAACTGTCCTGCTCAACGCCTGTTCAGTGTGGCCACCAATTTTTGATCTCACTTATGCCTATCCCTCTCCTCTTGAAGTTCAACCTGCGCCTCACGCAGAAGCTATATATTGTTGCGACTTTTCTTGCTGGTCTTTCGTGAAATGAACAGTGTCCCTTCTACCCACTATCTACCTACCTACCTGCCTCATACTAATGACCGACCGATTTCGAAATGTAGTGCTTATGCTGCAAGCCCGGCTCGCCTTGCAGAAATATCTGACTACCATAGTGGGAACGTAATACGGACCTGAGAACAAAATACGGACCTAAGCAATCAATCCTTGCTTCACATAGGTCATCATCACGTTTTCCAAGTTGAATAGCTGTCCATCTATGGGGAGATAGGGAATATATCTAGTAACATTTGGTCAAGTCATCTAGTATATGCTGGCACCCCGTCGAATGAAAACTTCCACTAGGCTAAAAACTCGAGTGTTACTTCATAACCTTCCTTAGATCAGGGGTCATTTGAGGCTAGATAGTTAATTCACATAATTTAAATTTTATTATCAAATAAATTAATTTGTAAAATGAAGAATAATTGATTATTATATAAGTACATCTTAAAGGAACCTTTATTTATACAATCAGGGATTTTAGAAAGAATTACAGCCTGGGATGGAGTCAAGTATCGAATCCATAGAATCAAGTACCAAGCTAATACCGTATCTGGCAGCTCCCTGAAATAACAGGCTTGTTTTGCATGCCAGGCCAGACTGGACCGAATATAAAAGCACATTATCTCAGTCACCTGGCCTGCTCATACACTAATTTCACCTCATCACAATTTTGTCTTCTGTAACCAATATCCACCATTCTCGAATTTGTTTAGCATGGAGCGTCATGGCAATATGAACGTGTTCAAAGGGCCAGAGTCCATGAGAAGTTACTTCGATCCAGATTTTGCGCCACCCCTTCCGCTCGTCGAGATACCAGATCGACTAAACCCTCTTCGCAAAGATGGAGTGAGAATCTACGCCAAGATGATGACAGCGCTACCGTGCCAAAATGTGAAAAATCTACCCGGTACGTAGCACCCCTTTTCCAAATGTATCAAGAATACCAGACTGATCAGTTGTGGCAGCTCTCAATATGCTCCTCCAGGCAGGGCCAAAAGCGGAGGGAAAGGCCATTGTCGAGTGCAGTTCTGGATCGACCGTTATTTCCGTGGCGATGTGTGCACGAGTTTTACATGGAAACGACAATGTTCACGCATTTGTTAGCAACAAAACGGAGAGATCCAGGCTGCGGACGTTGCAGTTTTTTGGTCTGAAGCCGCAAGTCACCTCACCTTGGGCTCTTCGCGAATTATGGCTAATAGCGGCAAGCAGACATCTATACGGAGGACCAGGGCAACCCGAAGTCCTAGATCCGCGCGGCGAGATCCAGAGACTCAAGCACTGGAGCCAAAAGAGCAATGACACGTGGAATCCCGGCCAGTATGAGAATATGGATGTGAGTGCAGTTCCATTGTCATCATCGATGCTTCCCAGTAGATGAAGTATCACAATTGACATGCTTCGGCAGAATCCAGATTCCCATGTCCGGTGGACGGGTCCTCAGCTGATAGTGCAGCTCCCTGAGATAAACGTCTTTTGTTCTGGAATGGGGAGTGCGGGTGAGTCCAACTGATGCTGTGACCCCATGGCAAGTATGGAAGTTGACAAAAGTTCTTCATCAGGCTGCATCACGGGCGTGGGGAAATACCTGAAAGACAAGAAACCATCCGTTACAGTTGTTGGGTAGATGGCTCCCACACCTTGATCCGCATGACCAGGAAGCTAATGCCTGTTTTTAGCATATGCAATAAGACGGCCGACGCCATACCCGGGCCACGACCGTCGGCCCTCTTTGAGAAGGTGGAGTTTCCGTGGAAGAGAGTCACGGATGCGGTCAGAGAAGTTAGCTCCATCGAGGCCTACAGGCTGTCCATGCTGCTGTCTCGCGAGGGTCTCATCTGTGGGCCTTCTTCCGGGATGGCCCTGCAGGGTCTCCTAGACTTTCTCGAAGATGAAAAGGCTAGCGGCAGGCTGCAGTCACATGCTGACGCAGCCACGGGCGACGTATCATGCGTCTTTCTGTGCTGCGATCTGCCCTACCAGTACATGGACAAATACTTTGAGAAGCTGACGGCGGACGCCGATTTCCACTCGATAGAGAATGAGGAGCTCACGGCTATTGATCAAGGTCCATACAGCCCCGAATGGGAGTTGACGTTGGAGCAAGCTACGGCCATTGCCAAAGTGAGACAGTTTGCCCTCATCGGAGACACAGACGAGAGAAATGGCTATATGACCCCCAGCAGCATCCCCGTTATCGATCTCCGCGCCGCCAGCGACTTCAACTCATTACATATTTATGGATCGATAAACAAGCCGCTGAACAGCCTAGCGTCTAACACCGAGAGCCCATTTAATCAAAAGTCGATCCTATGTGATCAGGCCAAGGATATCGAGTGCATCATCAAAGGCCTGTCAGAAGGCAACGCAGCGCCAATCCTTGTTGTCTGCTACAACGGGGAGACATCCCGCCTAGCGTGCAGCATGCTGCGTCACCGTGGCATGGAATCTTACAGCCTGAAAGGAGGATTCAGTGCTTCAGTGCCAGTTGAGTTTGCAAAGGTACATACTTGATCATTGTCTGATGAATACTATAGTCGGCCCCTGCTCCATGGATTGGTACCTAGATTTACAAACACGTATCTACGTAGGGCAAAAACTGCGAGTTGCTAATCAACCTGATACCAATACACGGAAACTAAAGATTAAACAAATGCTTCCGAAGCAGAGAAATTCCTGCCTCGGCGGCGCCCACGCACCCTTCAAAGCCAGCACTATGATGGCCGTAGTTGTGAATAACAAGTCTGTTATTGCCCAGATCCTCCTTCTCCACTCTCGGCCCACCGTTTCTTGACGGCCGCAGCCCAACCGTGGCCTTGACAACGGTGAAGTTCCCCTGCTCATCCAGGAGCTCGGGTGCCATCGAATAGCATCTCTCCATGATTCGTCTGGTAATCTCGTCACTGGGTTTCGTCTCCCACGAGTCTGGGATTTTGCAGCCACCGAGCACCGTCACATCCTCGCCTGGGCGGGGAAACACCAGGGCCTCCCACGGTTCTGGTTCGTCAATGTTACGACGAGTGCTGATTCTGTTTGCCCGACCGCGAACCAAGACGAGCTGGCCCATGGTGGGAAAGCACGCCTTGTCCCCAGTCATCGGCCCTGCCGCCACGCCCGTGCAGTTGAAGACGACTTGGACGCCAGGCACCGCGTCAAACGCCTCTTGGAGAGAACTAACCCGCACTGTCCTGGTCTCGGCGCCCAGACGCTTGCATTCCCTGAGCAGATACTGGCAGTAGATGATTGGGTTGACTGCGATGGTCTCGTACTCGAACCCAGCAGCGAATCCGGCCGGCGGCTTGTTGATCTCTCGGATTGGCACCACCTTTTGCTCGCTCCACCAGTGCTCGTGCTCGAGTGCGTGCTCCGGCCTGCTGTCCCAAAGGAAACGCGCGGGCAGCCTCTCGAGCCCAATCTCCTGCGGGGAGTGCGCCTTAATCAGCTCCCTCCAGTGCTCGAGCGTCGCGCGATCCCACGACTGAGCTTCGACGTCTTCGGCTGCCGGGTTGGACCGCCACTGGGCGCCCGAGTGCATCGACGTGTAATACGGGTCGTCAGAGTCCGAGGCGGGCCAGTGGGAGGAGACGAGTGTCACCCGGTACTTTTCTTTGAGCAAGCCGAGGGACGTTTGCAGGCCGATCACGCCAGCGCTGCGAGCCATGAATTGTACATGCGTAAGTAATGTTTCAATCGGCGCATCGATATGCAGTCATGTGTCAGGTCGTTCTCACCCTAGTACAATGATATGGGCCATGGTGTGCCAAAGACTGGCGGCGTCAACGTCCGATTTTCTTGCGAGATTTCCGATTGTTCAAATTGTTCGTCACTTCGTATGCACGTATGACCCAGAGCCAACGTCAACGTATCAGGGTAGCAAAGAAAGGCGAGGCATATCGCGGGACACACCAGATTATTATAGTCGCTAAAGTCTACCACCCGAGCTCCTCAAAATGCCCTCCTAACCCTACATCCTTGACATGGTTCCATTCAGTTGGAAGACGAAAACACATGACAAGTTGTGAAGTGAGTTCATCTTTGGTCACTCCACTGCTTCCTTCGACCCCTCCGCCCAATGTAGCACACCGTTATGTTGTCAGTCAGCAGCTACAGCTTGGCCTTCTCCTGCTGTGCAGAACGAAGGTATACGGCAAGCGTCTCGGAAACTTGCTCAGGCCTGTCCCAGCGTATCACGGGTGTCTCCAGCCGTGGAACTTTGATGGGCGGCAGCACCCGGTTGCCCAGCGTGCGCTCGTACGTCGTCTCTTCCTGCACAATCTTACCGATGATGACAGCCCCGACAGCGCAGTAGATGCGGATGGCCTTTGCGCTGGCGTCACCAAACACGGGCACATTATCCCTGGCCGACGCCTCAAAGAGCCAAGCAAAGAGGTGTCCGGCGCATCCCTTGCGCTGATACTCGGGCAGCATGGCCAGCGTGTAGAAGTCAATCTTGTCCGTAAACTCGGTTGAGTTATGCCCGATCAGCTCCTGTCGCCAAAAGTCGTCCAGGGCCTCTTGGCTCGCCGCCCGGTTCGGCGGCTCCGTGGCCTCGGCGAGGTCGAGCGTATGGCGGACAACACCTAGATTATTTCCCCTTCGTGTCAGTGCCAATCAGATACCGTCGTCGTCAAGATTACCTAGGGAAGCTGGTGGGGAAGTGTGCCGGGACAACAAACGTTTCTCAGGGGTATCCGCGCCCCACGCATCTCGCTGTTCCTGGGTGCCCCCCGACCTCTGGAATGTGGCAAATCCAATGATGGAGCCGGCGCTGTGGGTGGGCTTATTCGGTTGCTCGTCCTCCTTGTCAAGCACTAAAGCGATGATGCAGCAGCCGGGCGTGGCCATCAAACGCTGATATTTGCGACGGAGATGCATGAAGAAGTCCTCCGGAAAGTAGTCTTTCCAAGGGTAAAAGTGGCCATAGCTAGGATCCTTCTGAAAAGCTTGCGTTCCAACCCAGGCAATCGTAGAGGCCTCGTCGAGGTTGGCCTTTCTCACATGCATTGTGGAGAAGTATGCTGCCTGGCGAAGGTAGATGAGAGGTTGTGATTGAGTCGTAGAGCAACTTTTCCAGCACAGAGAAACAACAGAGCTCAGAACAACAAAATATTATAAACTTAAGCCCCTCAAGTTAGTCGATGACATCTTTATATTGTGGAGTTGGAGAAGAAGCTTAGGATGAACGATATGCTTCCTCCCTTTTTATTTTGGTGCGAGGCTCCTGAAACCCCCAGCAAATTGGGATGATTCGGAGAAAATGAGCCGACACGAATTATCATTAGTCCCTTTTCGAAAACAAAGCCCTTGACACCTTCACCTTGTCAAAAGTCCTTGAAATGAGACAGCTTCCATGCTCGTTGACAGGCGAAGGACGAAGGTGAGGGAAGCAATACACCTCAAGTTCCACCCGCCGTCTTGGTCCCAATCTCTTGCTCCTGCTGTGGCAACTGATCCTTCCCGGGCGCCTTGTCCTCCTTATCGTGGCGGAACCCTTGCTCCGTCTCCTGAGCCCTGTCCACGCTCAGGGGCTGGGTAAGGAGGCTCGCCAGCAGGGCCGCGCCCGCCAGGCCCGCCATTGTGGCCCAGACGATGCTCAGACTCTGGGCGTATGCTTGCACGATCATGATTCGCTCCTCGGACCCGGGCTCGAGGCTCTTTACGTACTCGACTAGCGAGCTGGCCTCTTTGGCTAGGCTCGACGCGCGGTCGGCAAGCTCGGGGTAAGCAGCCAGCTGTTTTGCGAGCTGCACCTGGAGAATGGCACCACCAGCCGCGACGCCAATGCTCTGGCCCAGGGCGCGAGAAAAGATGTACATGGACGCGGCGTAGGCGGCATCCTTTTCCGACGCCGACGTCAGCGTGCCGTAGGCCAGGCTACTGTACAGCATGCCGATGCCGACTCCAGGTACGACGTTGATGAGGATCCATTGCCATGTCTTCGTGTCCGGTGCCAAGAGGTAGAGCAGCGCGAAACCGAGCACTGTGAGGCACCACGCGCACCAGATGGCCCATCGAAAGGTACCCCATTTGCTGACGAGCACGCCGACGACAATGGAGCCGGCGGGGACGAGGAGCGTCTCTGGGAGCACTGCAACGCCCGATATAGTTGCGCTCATGTCGAGGACGAGCTGATAGTAGAGGGGCAGATAGTACATGAGGCACCACGTGACGATGCCGTGGACAGTTGTGCCGAGATAGCTCACCATGGCGGTCCGGTTGTGAAAGATTTGTAGGCGAACCAGCGGTTCTGAGGGGACGTAGGCCTCGTAGATGATGAAGGCCAGAAGCCCAACGAGGCCAAGCACCATGGGCACAATCGACTGCCACGATGACCATGCATAGAGGATGCCTCCCCACGAAATCGAGACGAGAAATCCAGTCAGGGGCGCCGTAAGCAGCATGACGCCGGGCCAGTCAAACTTGGCCATCTTGGTAGTGAACTCGCCATGAACCTTGTGCAGCTTGAGAAAGACGGCCACGGCTATGAAACCAAGCACACAGAGAGGCACATTTATCCAAAAGATCCACTCCCATCCAATTGTGTCAGTAAAGCCACCGCCGAGCAGAGGGCCGACGGCTGTACCCACGGCGGCGGCTGCGCTCTGATAGCCAAAGTAAGTGCCACGGTGACGCAGCGGGACGAGGTCGGTGATGAGGATCTCGACCATAGTCATGATGGCTCCGCCGCCTGTGCCCTGGATGCTGCGCCCGATGAGAACGCGGGTGAACTCCTTAGCTGTGGCCGTGATAATGGAGCCGACGGCAAAGAAGCCAATTGAGATGAGAAGAAGGGCCTTGCGACCGAACGACTGTGACAGACCACCAAATGTGAGCATGGCGACGGTGCCAGCCAGGAGAAAAGACGTGCCGGCCCAGAACGCCTGTACGGCCGATCCGCCCAGCTCGTAGGACATGGTCTAGAATTTTGTCAATACCACTACCGCAGGAATAAATTGAGAATACTGAGGGTGACTGGGCTGCCGTACGGGAATCGCTGGGCCCAATGCTGTGGCATCCAGCGAGTTGACCACCACGAGGATACACAGACTGAAGAAGGCGGCCATGAAGCGGCGCCCAGGATTGAATTGCGCGCCATCATCAACAGGCATCTCGTCGCTCGTCGTTACATCCATACTGCTCGACAGATAATGCCGTTTTTTATAGGTGTGCCATAGGCCTCGCTCGACGAAGGTTCGAGTTGAGGTTGAGTAAAAGTTGTGTTGCTGATGAAGTGATAAGCACAGTTCAAGAGCACAACCAGTAATTTTAAAAAGACGAAAGGTCAATGCGCTGAAGCAGCATGGCTCTAGGGTAGGTATGTATGTAAGTAAGCCGGGGCCTGGATTGAAGCTGACATGGAAACTGGGGAACAACTTCAACTTCAGCGGTGAATAATCATGCAGTCAGCTTCTCTTCCCACACATATCACGCACTTCGATAACCACGAGAATACATAACACTTCTACCGACTCTAACCACGGAGGTTGCAGAGCATCTGAACCATGGAACATAGCCAAAGCCCAACAACTGCCATCTTGAGACTACCCGACGAGTTATTGGCCTCTGTGTTACAAGAATCTGTGCACGTCGAATACAAATTTTGGCGAGACGACGACTCAGAGCCTTTCTTGAAACCCTGCGATGCTGCTACAGCGAGAGCGCTGATCTCAACCTGTCGGCGGTTTCAGCGCCTTGTCACTCCGCTTCTCTATGCCCACATCGAGGTTCGGTGCAACGGCGCGGGTCGGGGTGAACGTGAGGTGGCCAACGCTCGCCGTACCAGACTTCTCCATCGCACGTTCCGAACAAATACGTCTTTGTGGATGCACTGCCGCAGACTAGAAATTGGCTTTAGTTATGGCGGCAAACCACTCGATCGAGAATCACCAGTCCAAAACCTCATGTATATTGCTTGCGACTGCCTCAATTGGCTCACCAATACCATCGATCTACGCATCATTGCCCTGCCGTCAGGTTTACTCGAAGAGGACGGGTTGACAACTGTGCTGCTTCCTACGGGGGATGACCTTTGCTATCTGATCAGACTCGCGACAGACAATTTACCCCATCTGAGGCATCTGGACCTCCATACCTGTAACGAGGCAATGCTGGCTCTACCGACTGTTATTGCCGGGCTCAGTGGGCTCAAACCTAATGCTTGTCTCCGAACTCTCGACCTGAGTGGCATCACTCATATTGGGACAGATGATGACTGGAAATTACTACGTGTAAGGGAGCACCTCATCGCCTGTTGTCTAGAGGAACCCAAAGAAAAATTATTTCAGAGATGGATGCTGACTCGTTCGACAGGCTCAAGCAGGCACCTCGCCGCTCAGTGTATTGAAGCTGAGAAATTTCACCCAAGGGGTGCAAGCCCTCGAAGCACTTGTATTGTGGCCAGCCAAACTGACATCATTTGAATTTTCAATGCCATTTTCCGACCACTACAGTGGGGAAGGGCCCTTGACACGATACAACCTCGGAGTGCTGCAGCAAGTCTTATTACACCAGAAAAATCATATTTGCTACATTGGGCTACAAGAGCTTGTGAATCAAGGTCTCTATGGCTTTGACGTCACAGACTTCCACAGTTTGAAGACACTGACGCTTGGACATGATACGACAGGGACCGACTCTTCTTCCATCGCCAATCTTGTCGCACCCAATTGTGAGGTATTCTGCTGGGACATGGTACTTGAAGATCAGCAATGCCCCGAGAAACTCGGTTCGTTCAATCAGCCAGAGGAAGATTGGCTCCGAGCATTTGCGCAAGCCGCTATCGCCAGGAAGTCGGCTCTTCGTCATATAAAGGTACTATATTACCCTGAGAGTGACGCTTACCTTACTGAAGAAGCCCTGAAGAGTCTTGAGTATCCCTGGGATCGGATGGATAGACTCGCACAGGAGATTCAACCTTATGGGATTCATTTGTCCTATTCCGCTCCAAACATAAGCAGGGGAGAATTCGACGAAATGGTTAGTGGCCCTTGATCCCGATTACATTTTAGTCCCCAGAAGGGATTCCTAAAACACAAAGAATGTTACAACTAATCTATAGACTCTAGAAGGAGCGACATTTGAAGAATGGATACTTCCGGAAATACCACCATTAGAGTGAGTAATATACTAGAGAATAATCAAAAAGCAGAAGAGTTCAATACATGTTTAAACCAAATATCAAGACAGCGGAGCGCTGCAGGCTTAGGGCAGAAACACGGTTCTGCGATCTCAAGCACAATTAGGCTCAGGGCCAGACGAACAAGATCGATTTGAAGTGGAAAGCCCTTGCCCTTGCCATGCGACACTACGATGCATGGCAACAGATCATCGCCAGCTACTCACAAGTAATAGAAATGCACCTAGAAGTTTCTAATAGCGGCATGAAGTCGCGCTTATAATTGAAGTTGTCGTGTTATCTTAGGAGAAGTGCTCTCCCTGGTTTCTATAGATAGGCATTTATGCACGAGGCCAAATTCCCTTGTCCTTAAGGCCTTAATGGCCTCTCGCGATCTCTATAGAGGGCTTCCCAAAGTAGTAAAGGTGAGAGAGTTCGAGTGCAAAGGAAGAAACAGCAATGGAAGATGCCAGACCCAGCATCTCAACACACTAAGTCGCAACACAACAAATCTCAAGGAAGTAAGAAGTCCTGATGTGTAAGGGATAAGCAATGATTTGGATCACAGGATTGCTATTTTTCTATGTGATTAAAGAGCCTCAACACGAATCTCGTCTGTAGATATTGAACCATCTGTTGCGATCAATCCTAGTGCTCCATCCTTGTATTGCGAATCCGTTGCAGTCAAGGAAATATCCCCAACACTGGCAGTAATAGTATCCCCCTGAGCTTCAATAGTAATGTGATAATCGTCGTCGAGGCTCCATTGCAAATCGGCAGAGACGAGTGTTATCCTCTCACTATCAAGGGCTTTGACTATGGCTAGACGGCCGCCCTTCACAAATACCAGAGAGTAATACCGATTGAGTCCCTGCGCACGAATTGCCACTCCAGAGGGAGCGCCGAGGATGACTGTAAATTTTGGTATAACAACACGATAGTTGTCCCAGTCTCGGGTCCCATACAGGATGATACCCTCGCCCTTCGCTTGCGAGATGTAGAGGGAACGATCCAACTTTCTATTCAACGAGTCGGCTCCGTTTACCCAAGAGCGATACCAAAAGTCACAGGGCCGACTCTCTGGTCTTCTGATCGTCATTGTCGGTGCACCTTGCCAGTATAATCTCTCCAACCAGATTGTGCCATTAAACTTGGTCGCAGGGTTACTTCGAATAGCAAGGCCAACTCGATGTATCGGCTGGCTTTCCATGTCGTCTGGGATAAGTAGTTCCAAAGATGCAGTTTTGCCTGGGCTTAGCAGGAGTTCAGAGGCGTCCACAGCTCTGAGTTTCTCGCTATTGGTGTACACCTGAAGCCTTACTGCGACAAGCGCGTCTCCAGAACTATTCGACGAGGAAGATATCTTGAAATGGATCGTTTGGCCGGGGTAAATCAGGGGTGAAGCCATGAGGTCATATGTACGCATTATTTTGATCTCCTGTGGTGTAAAGGTTTCGGTGGATACTTCGATTGGCACATCCGAACCAAGCTGATCCAGTTTGATAGCCAATGCAGGCTCTCCGTGTTCATCGAGACCCTGAGAAACTGAAGCTGTCCCCTGGTCGTCATCAACCCGGTGCACTTGAAACCCCTGAACACTTCCAGGGAGAGTAAAATGATACTGTGCACCACGCTTTGGAGCCTCTATTGGCTCGAGGCCTTTGAGCTGACGACCCAAATTAGCAATGCCCAATGCTATTCGGGCTGCATTGTTGATGGAATAGCCGCCATCCGCAGAGGAAATCAGCGCACGGTCGGCGATAGGCCCTCTCCAGTCTCGTCCATCAAAGGAGGACATTCCATTGATAATGGCTACCAAACACCCCACGTTGCCTGAATTGCAGTCGGTATCCCAGCCACAGGTATTGATAATATGCATGGCTTCGTCAAAGTCATGAGCGGCATATAGTATCGTCATGATCATTACCGCATGGTTAGGTACGACGTGGCATATGCCGTGGAACTTTTCATAGCCATACTTGTCTTCGATGCGCTGACGTGTCTTGAGCCAGTTGTTATCCTCCTTGACCCATTGGCGCACATGGCCGATCACATGTGCAATGAGTGAATCCTGCGGGATCAAGGAGAGCCCTATATCAAGAAGACGGTCGACATCCTTGGTATAGAAGGCCTCAGCCTCCATTGCAGCCCACAGCTGTGCTGCGTAGACTGATTCCCCGTCGTGGCTGACAGAACCTGCAGCCTTGGCAAACTTTGCTGCGAGCTTTGGATTGCCTGGGCTGACAAGGGCCCAACCATCGATGAAGATCTGGGCGCCAATCTGTTCAGCCACTGTTTTCCCATTAACGTCGATGGAGCCGCTGAGAGGCGCAGGGATTCCATTCTTGAGGTTGAGAAAGGCAGTATGCTCCGTGGATATGCCACGTCCGGACCACCAGAAGATTGTCCGGTGCTCGATCACGTTGTTGAGCCAAGTCTGGCCGATCTGCTTCGAGGTGATATTCTCGGAAACGCCATGCTCCTCGAGAGCGCGTACAAATTGAAAGGTGCCTGAGACATCGTCATCAGTGATGACAAGAGGCTCATTGAAATGGTCATTGATGTAGTAGCGAACATGACCCAATTCTTCGAGGACGCGCTGATGAGTCCAGCCCTCATAAGGCCGCCCGATGTATACGCCGATTAATTTGCCCAGAACTCCGGCGTAGACACGGTGCAGGTAGTCTTCTGACAGTTCCCGAGACTCAAAGGGAGATGACATCTTGACGGCCGTATACCTTAGATTGTGGAAGAATTGAGGAAGAGGGGAAGATGATAGAAAAAAGCCGCTCAACCGGGTATCAGCAGTCCTACACACCTACAAGTCTGCCTACCCCGCCAGCAGCAGAGAGAGAGAGACGCCGCTGGTCCCTTTGCACAGCCCCTATGCATGGGCTGCCCAATCAGCGCAACAGTCCACACATTGAAAAGCAAACAACTGGTCTGATGTGACATCCTGGGCTACTCAGCCCAGCAAATGCCTTGCCTCCCCTGCCTTACTCCTAAAGATCAACCCTCGAACCCTGATGCATAATGACGATCCACAATAATCTCAAACAGCACTCTACGAGCTGCCCACGATTCGTTGCGCATTCACTTGACGAAGAGAAACCTCCCAGTCTACCAATCACTCCCCACTAGTTACCAGAATTATATGTATCAATCAGGGTCAGAGTTACGGCAAAACATCTATTTCTTCTCTAACTGGAGCGCACATTAGCTGCGTTTCAACTTGGACCTGAGATGCCCCCATCGAAGACGCCACGGTGGCCCGCTCTCAGCCCCCCCGTAACGCCCTACCCCTTTCTCCTCGTCACCCTCTGGGCCTTGGTCAACTCTCAAAACCCTGAGAATGGCAAAAATAATCACCAGAATAGTGATTGTCACTGGTATGGATATCATCCAGAAGTAGCCCGACGAGTGAGATGTCGCGACAATGTCAGTGACATTCATCCCAAAATACGACGTGAAGAAGGACAATGGCACAAATATGGTGGTTATCGCAGTGAAAATGATGACCGATCTGGACTGTACCCTCGAGCTCCTGGCTTCGTCAATCGCAAGGGCTTGTTGCTTAGTTGCGAGGTGACTTTGCGATACCGCGAGTTCTTGTTGCTCAAGTACACGGAGCTGTAGAAGCACATCGAGGTGCCGTTCCACCTTGGCTCTCAAAGATCTCCAATGTTCAATAATTGTTGAAAAGTCTTTATCGATCAAATCAATCTCATGCTGGATCAAGGAACGCATTTTCGGTGACGGGGTGTGATCTGGATGGAAAGGGGCTTGGTGGTTGTCAAAGGGCGGGATTCCATAGATAGGGAACTCTCGCACATTCTCTTCAAGATATTCTAAGCCGTCAAGTACAGCCTGCCGAAGGCTAAAGAGAAGTTCAACGTGCTGTCGACTAGCATCGCGTGTATTCTTGAGCCCTACGAAAACCTTGTTGAGAGCTCTCTCTGGGGTATCATGCATCATTTGATCGTTCTCGACTGATACACGAACCAAAGCGTAGTACAGTAAGGCAATATCGGGGTTCTCTCTCAGCACGTCCTTCTCCCGGAGTAAACGGTCGGCAAGCGTCTTGTAGAGTCTAGGGCAGCCGCAAGTTAACAAGGTGGTTTCACCGTAAAACTCGAGCCTCTCCACCGCATCGTCCCAGTTCCCGTAAAAGTAAACGTCGTTCATGTCGGCCAGTTTGTGTAATTCACGAAGACCAGGCTTCTCGTCGTATGCCATATCTCTGATGCAATCAACGGCGTTAATGAATCCAATACCTTGTTCCAAACAATTGTGTCCGCTCCGTTGCAGACTCTTACTCAGAGCTGGGCGATCATGCAAATAATCAAGCAGCAGTTTATACGGTTCCGAATTTATCCATGTCGATGCGTTGACGCGCAATCCTATGAAATTTGGACTGCCAGGCCTCTTTCGATAATATTTCCCAATGCGCTTGTAGTCTGTTCACGCGATTGGAAAGTTGAGCTTGTTGACCAAGAGATTGCTTACGACAGTATACTTACAAGGATCCTCCGGCGGAGGAGACCGGCCAGCTCTGCGATCCAGTTCTTCCAGACGCTTTCGAAGTATCGCCACTGGCGACTTCTCAAAAAGGGTAGGTATTATGCCCCATTGCGAGAATCTATGATCTGAGCCCCAAAAGGTCCCATATTGATCATATTCGACAAATATCCATCTGTTGCATGGCGTGATATCTTCGGGCTGTAGAATCAAGTCCGACGCCAACACTTCTCCGAACGTGTATTCTCTCGTACGTAGAGTTGTGGTTGAGTATTCAGTAATGAATACTCTGGCGTCTTCGATGGGCGGAAAGCATTGGTATGTTAATGCCAGCAGTTCGTCTCGTGAAGGGTGTTCGAGAACGGCATCTGAGGTTTTTGATGGTGGGAGTAGTTTCGTATCGCTCGTTGGAGCTTTTCTTAAGTCGGCGGTAGAAAGCGTAGAAGGTGTTCTCGTCGCATGTTTAAGTCTTGGTTTCCAGTTAGTTCAAGTTTGCCCTCTAGTGTAGTATGTTCTTTGCTAACTCACCTTCTCAACTTCCGCATGGCTGATTCAATCCTATCCTGGCCATTCGCCGTATGTTTACGATTGATAAACCTGAACCAGTTCGCGCGTCGATCTGCCTGTTCCACGGTTTCCGGTCCAGAATGCCTTCTTTTGCGAATGCTCGGCTTGTCGGGTAGAGTAAGCGCATCGAAAGAATCGACTGTTGTGGCTAAGATATTTGTAGACTCGCGACGCCGAAGGGGGGGAGCAGGTTTGTCAAACGGGGAAGGCAGATGTTCTCTCCATTCGGAGAGTTTCTCGGGCCGCATCAGGAGCACGGTAAAGCCCGACTAATCAACACTTTACGATGGCGATTGAAAGATCCGGTGTGCACTATAACATGTCGTGAAAACAAAACAACATAACGAATGGATGCTCGAGAGGGACTTGGAATCTAATCAAAGGATCATAGAAGGATTGAACAGTCAGCCTCACCATCTGGCTGATATGGTCCGCATGGCCGCCTTGCTTTTTCCATAAGTTGCCATCGAAAAAGACCTATCACATATTATGAGCACCAAAGAGGCAGCTAATTGGGTGCTTTAACTTCGCCAGGGAGAAGTCCCACGTAAGCGCAGGGGTCTTGTTTTCAGCTTTGATGCATGTTTTTGGGGCCAGCTGGATATGGCAGGCGATGGGCCCCCTTTTCTCCATATGAGCCCAACTATTCGTCTGTTTCTTGAGCATCTAGATCTGTTATTGAGATAGCCATTAAAGCTATGCGAGCTAATGCAGAGCAATACCAAGGCAGTGGCAAGCTTTGATTCGCTTCGGTACGAGTCTTGAGCGCAAATTACTTGGCATTCAAACGCTTTGGCCTCAACAGTAAGGCTGTGAGGCAATAAATCTCGATGTGCAAACCAATTGTACCAGGAATACATTGTCATGACGCTGCGAAACGCACTTGGCCTTGGTGACATCTATAAGAAACGAAAAAAAAGGCAAGCTTGTTGGAATGCATTGCCTTGGCGAAGTCCTTGTAGCAAACATCTTGTAGTAGCCCTACAGCAGTCAACAGGGAACAGGGATCAGACTGCTACTTGATCCAAGAGCGCTAGAAGGTGGAAGCCGAGGAGAAGAAGGCAGAGGTGGCTGGGAGAATCGCACATGGTCACAACTAACACTCGGTATGGCCTCAAGTGTGGATTAAGAGGTCACTTCACGGTACAAGCGTTTATCTCCAATTTTCTGCGTTTCATATTGAGAAATTTGTTGCGTCTGAACGGTCCCCGCCCAGTTCACCTTCTTCAAGGAGGTCCCATTGATGACGGTCGATTCCCAGCATATCAAGGAAATCATCGAACTCTTCAGTGCCTGTTTCCGGATCGAAAGTTGATTCCGAAGAATTCACTTCACTATACAGCCTCGCAAGCTCAGAGAGGATTTTCATTAACTGGTACGCACGTGAGTGTGGATGGCCCTCGCCAGTGCTCAGACATGCTATGAAGTCTTCGAGGCGCGCGAGGTCCGCCGCATTGCAGTCGTGCATAACGGAACAAAATACAACGATGAATGGCAAGAACGGAACAAAATGGACGGACCTAGGGCCTGGTTAGAGCTTTCCTAAATATCGTGATCTACCATTTGGTGGACCTACCAATTTATGTGGCTCTTGAATGCCGAGGGAATAATCGTAAGAGATCGGAGATCGTCCAGAGCCTGTTTGTGAGTTTCTAGCGTCATGCGGGCAACGTCGATTGCATGATATGGGATGCATTCAAAGATACCTGCGGTGACTGGAGCCATGCGGCATATCAGCGTGAGAACACAAAGATAGACGATACGCTCTGTTTGTAAGTATACACTCTTCCTTGGGTCAGTTTGTGCCTGGCGAGCAGCATTTTCTGTAGACTGTTGGCTTGGTTGGTGAGATCTCAACGAAGCTACGCAGGATTCCCAGGATTCCACATACAGATGACTTGTGCTGTTGGTCCAAAAGCATTTGCAATTCTACAGACAGCGCACCGGCCGATTCCATTCGCTCCACTTCTCGTTTCTGTGACGCGACAGAGCTATAAAGCTGGGTGTATGTTCTAGCTTGGATATCGGCAAATTTAGTCCATCGACGGACGGTAGGTTCAGACGGGAGAGCAACGTCGTACTCCACAACTACTGGTGTCCGACCGAGTCGCAGGCTCAGAGCTTTGTCAAGCCTGTACACTGACCAGAAGAGCTTCTCCTTTTCTGTCTTCGCTTTCTCTCCATGATTTTCCATGCGCGATCTCCGATGATATCCAAGCGTCTGGCACATACTTGCGGCCGTCGAGTTTAGAGTCCACGCAAGTGTTGGCTGATTGGTATCAACAGCATGCTGAGCCTGAACAAATCCTGTATGAGCACCTGGAGGTTACGTAAAATTCTTATAGGTATCTTCACTTACTCCGAGAACTAGACTCGCGATCGTCCTTGATGAGGGTGGCAGGACCAATGGGAGATGAGAGACACTGTTCAACGCGTTCGATTGGCATTGGGTGCCAAAGCCGAAGTATTTTTGTTGCCCTGAGACAACGCCATACTCGCAGAATACCCATGCCAAGAAGCTATTGGCGATGATAAAGTCAAGCTGGCTGAATTTTGCAATAGGAAAATAGACCCGTTGGCAAGAATCCGCAAATTGCTCAATATCAAGAACCTGACCAAGCCAAAATAGTATGTAGCACGGAGTATTTTCTGATCAAAAGATATTTAGAACTAAGCTGGCGCTCTGTGTGCAATGACTGATACGACTCACCTCTTGCCCAGCGTAAAACAATCACAGCTTCTTCTTGAGGGGGTAGCTCCAAGCTATCAGGAAACTCTGGCATAATGACGTCGACAGTTTCACTGCTCTCGAGATTATTCTCGTCACCTGAAGCGAGTATTTCTTGTAATGATTCCATGATCGCATTACGGTTTGCATTGAATTGCGAGAAGGGCCCGAAACCAATCAATTCACTTACAAATCGACCCGTGAGCTTGGATTGAGCATGGAAAAGAGAGCCCCCCTCGTCATAATCAAATGCCTGTGTTTTCTTCGAATCCTGACTGGTAGTCTCAGGGTAGAGAGCTCCTTGATGAACTCTGGAGGCCAATGACGGAGCTCCCGGAATTGCACGTATGCCAAGATCTTGAAGTAGCTGCCTTATACCATCAACATTTTGGGCAATCTCGTCAATCTTCTTTTCACTAAATGATGGCAATAATGTTAGGTGATATGCCCTTGCCGAGGTTGAGAAGAGATTATGCACCCACTAATTCGCTGATATGAGCACTCTCTGGCGGCCCTCGCCTGTTCTAGGCTTCTGAGGAGAGTGTGTGCATTCAAGCCTAGCACTAGAGCAGTTCGCACAAGGCGATGCTCTATCGCAGCCAATCTATCATGCAATCAGCTCCGGACGCGATCGCGAGAGTGTCTAATCAAAACCCTGACCTTTCTTACGCGACATTGGTCACACTACAAAATATATGACGTCAGCACGCGGCATCGTAATAAGTGACGAGGGAAATCAATTGCTCAGACATCGAAAAAGGTGCACGTACCGAGCGCCGCAAAATCACCGGCCGCGTAATACTCTGATTCCCGCTCCGGTCTTCTTCCATGGTCAATGTCGTTTGCTAGAAATGGAAGCGGACACCAAGAAACCCTCCACTAAATAAAATCTTAAAAGAGGGATTTGAGGTAGCATGGCTTTTGAATTGAGGTGGGTCAGATACTCAGGGGGCGCCCAACCGGGTGACATAAGACATTGCACACGCAGATCATAGGCGTTTTTAATCCTCAGTCCAACAGCTAAATCCTATTAAAATAGTAAATAGAACTATATAATAATTCTCAGAGGTCCAAATATTAAACTATTATCGTTAATAAGGGTATATTATATATTTATTATTCGGTTATTAGGCTATCAAGGCGAAGGGTTTAGCGAAATAGCAGATTAAAGTACCATTTGGTGTGCAACGTCTTCTGTCACCCACTTGGCACCCTAGCTTGCTTGCCTGCCTAAAGCTTGCTTTGTCAGATATTAAATCCTGCTATTTTGCCGTCATAGACATCCCAATAACATTTCATCATTCCCGTTGCTAATATCAAACACCTATCCTATGCGACTCCTATACGCGTTTTAATACACCTTTGGTACCTTAAACAACGCGACCCGCGCCCAAGCAAGTGTTTTGTCTCAGAATAAACAACGGCGTAGCTTGGAGCAGTGAGGACGAGTAGTAGACTTTGTTTCTGCTTACTTTCAATCGGCAAACTATATGCTATAAGATATTCTCTAATCGACATGTTGGCTCTTGACCCTTCCACATTTCCTCAAAACGCGATGTTGTTTGTTTGGTCGTGGCTTCAAGTGGTGAACCCACTTACGCGCGCGCTTTCATTGGTCAATCACTCTCAGCCCCTGGCATTATGGTTCTGTCTTGATTTTTTAGATTAGAAGGCAAGATGACAGAATCGAGGAAGGTGTTATCTCTTGATTCATCAGTTAATGTCGCTTCTTAATACTAGCTGGAATTCTGCATAGCTATGTTCGTCAAGTTTCGCTGGACTTTTGACCATGTCTCGTCCCATTGGAGATTTTGGCTGTTTTCAGTTCAACTACAGATATCTTGATTCGAAATTCCATGCTTAATTCAATCCAACCCGATTTATAGATCAACTCAACTTGGGATAGTTCGCAATTAATTAAGTCGTCAATCTAAGAAACTGCTATTTCTAGGATATTTCCATATAATCACGTCCTCAGGAGGCTCAGAGATTATTCGGTCCCGGGTAGGTCTCCCTGTTGTTAGACGAAAGCTTACCTAATAAGCCTCGGTGCAAACAGGGTCAGACAATTCGGCAATTCAGTTCAATTTGGAAGACGGTAAAATTTGATCCAATCAAGACCGAGGCGTGGATCAACTTCTAAAACGGTCAAGTCAAATTCTACGCCCCACTTGCCCCATCACCGAGCCGGAGACGCGAGTGTTTCCGGATCCACTCCAGAGCTCCACCTCAGAGACTGAGACCAATCATACCTACCTATGCACACTTGGTGAAGTGGTTGCTGAGCGCCTATAAAGATGGAATCAATCTCAAGCTCATGTCAATTCATGATTTGAATCTCTATGTATGCTTCGACAATATTCTTAGCCATGGATTACAAACTTCTCATTACTGGTGCCGCTGGATATATGCAAGTGTCTACTCAACTCTCCTCACTCTCAACTGGCTTACGCTAATACGTCCCTGCAGTGGCGGCACACTCATCAACACATTGGTTACAGAGCAGCATAGCATTGTCCCACCCCCAAACATCGTTGCGGTAGTCCGGTCTGACAAGCAAGCTCTTGAGTTATCCTCGTTGGGGATTGACGCCGTCCATGTCGACTTGGGGGACATCGACGCGATCACTCAACTTGTTCTTGAGAAAGACAGTTAGTGCCATAGTTTGTAGTCGGTGAAATTGGGCTGACAAGTGTTTGGTAGTTGACCTCGTAGTTCACTGCGCCAGTGCCACTGACGCTTCTCTCGCAAAGCCGCTCCTCTCGGGCCTGGGAAGGAGAATCCAGCAGACAGGCAAGGCAGCCTACTTCATACACGTAAGTTTGATCCTTAATGGTCCAGAAAATTTCGCTCTGCTAATTCAGTCCGCCTATATAGACCTCCGGGGCAAGTGCCTTCGCTGACCTTGCAGGTTGGCCTCATGGCAAGGTTTCCGATACCGACCAAGTTCACGCTCTCGTCAAGCAAGTTTCGACGCCGTACGTGGTCAGGGATACGGATAATACCATTTTTGACTTGGCATACGAGAATAATGTTACAAATTTCATTGTTGTCCCGCCTCTGATCTGTAAGTGACATTTCTTCCTCCTGAAATACCTCACAGGTATGGCAATATTCGTCTAAGATCAAATCCATAGATGGCAGAGGCACTGGGATATCAAACCATATCTCTTCCCAGCTTTCTGTCTATATCCAAGCAGCAATTGCAAACAAAGCCGTTTACAAATTTTCCAAGGATAGCGTAAGCTAGGTTGCCAAGGCATCTTCTCAGTGTATCGATATTTCTGACCCAAGTACCCATGATTATAGGAATGGCAAGCTATTCATGTCACCGACTTGGCTCGCTTTTACACTAGCATAATCCGCACTATAGTACACGGTAATGCTCCCGTGGGTGGCCAGGATGGGTACTTTTTTGCTTCAGCTCATAAACTGCCATGGTGGGATTTGCTTCACTGTCTGGCCAGCCGTCTCCATGCCAAATGGCTCGTTTCAACCGCAGACGTCAACGTCTGGCCCAACGGGGATCTGGCGGCGGAAAGCTTTGGCATGCCTTTGGAATATGTGAGAATTGGGTGGAATTCAAAGTATGTTCATTGCGCTATTAGCATTATTGCCGTTACCAAGCCGCATAGGGGTTGAGACTGACCATGGCATAGCTCTATTACGCTCTGCCAGAAGGGGGACCTCATCGGGTGGAAACCAATTTGGAACTACGCTATGCTTCTAGAACACATGGATGACGAGATTGAAAAAGTCCAGCAAGCAGGTCCAAGCGCGAAAATGATAAAGCTGCCCCCAAAGTTGCGTTAGTTTAGCAGAATAATGCGAGACCACCAGGGAGGGTTGTCAACGTCAATTGTGGCAGCTGTGATCTAAATTTGGATAGTGAGAACTTGAATCCCACAGCAGACGCCAGATGCTTAGTAGCCATATGCCATCCTGTGTAAGCAGAATTGAAAATCGGGAAGGTTGGAACCGTTTGTCTCAAAATTAAGTACACTTCCACAGACCGCGAGATCGTGCAGAGCTGGCTTAACACATACGTAGAAAAACTTGCTACCTATGTATATTATCTCTTATTATATTGTTAAGAGAGATAACGTTGAGGGTGTATTTATTTCCAGAAGCCTCACAGAAAGGACCCGTGTGTTTAATAGTTTAGTAATCTAATACTAGGTACTTACCTAGGTAATCCCTAGGCTTGTGCCTCGGACCTGAAAGCCGCTTATGTGATATGGTGGGAGTACACGCAACATCTGGGGCGATGACAAATTATAACCTGGGTGGCTTGGACAGGATTATCCTGCCTTCTGCCATGTCTTCTTCCCTTTTCCGGCATCATTCAATCTATGATAATACACTGGCTTCAATATCTACCTGCTGTAGACAAAACAGTCCAATGAATCAAGAGACCAATCTCGAACAGTTTCTTGTAGCTGGCCGAGCGCGACGTGCGTGCGTGCGATGCAAACGCCAGAAACTGAAAGTAAGAGCGTGCCGGGTTGGTGTGAGAAGCCAAATTAATCCAGAGTCCCAGTGCGACAACCAACGACCATGTTATCTATGCATCCGCTCAAACATGGAATGCCGAGATGAGGAGCGAAAGTAAGCCTGAGAGCCCCTGTAAGAATACTCACAGTTAGTAACCTCCCCATAGCAATAGGAAGCCGAGGATACGAGCCAACTTTCGTGGGGAAACTAGTAGAGGAGAACATGTCAAAACAACTCAGACGCATCGCGAAACGGCGGTGCCCCCGCAGACCTTCTTGACATCTCTTAGCTATACGGCTACGTCGGTATCATATAGCGAACGGACCTCGACCCTGAGATTAGTTGACCAGGCATGTTTTTCTTGCCCACTACTCACCCAGAGCTCAGAGGCTGATTCTCCTTCTAGGTTTACAGCGAGAACAGTCAAAATCCATCGGGAACACCCCAAGACATTCAATTAGATGCCTTGCCTGACCATCCACCACAGCATTCAATGCGCATATTCAGAGAGGCAGTCCCGGTTGAACAGCTCATCGGGACAGAGCTTCCGCCTCCTGCTGTTGTCGAATGCTTGCTAGAAAGCTTCTCAACGTCTGTGGCTTGGTACCTGTCTTTTTTCCATGAGCCGACTCTGCGCGCGCGGCTGAAAGGCATTACTGATGCGGGACGAGCAAGAGCTGAAGATACATCTTTTCTGCTGCTGGTGCTTGTCGTGCTCGCCATCGGCGCCCAATACATGACAGCCGAGCAGAAGTGGCGGCACTTTGGCTTCGAGTTTGACACGACAAATATGCAGGATCGTCTGATCGGAACCGTTGAGACCAAGCTACTCATTGTGTTGGATGAATCAAGCACGTCCTCGGTATCGCTGTTCAACCTGCTGGGATCTTACTACATATTTAACCGCAAAACAAGGCGTGGCTTCACACTCATGGGAGCTGCAGTACGAATAGCTCAAATGATGGACTTGCATAACGAATCGGCTTGGGGCGGAATCGATTCTACCGAGAGGCAAGCCCGTAGGCGTGCTTGGTGGACTCTTTATACTGGCGATAGGTATATGATCCATTCTTATTCCTATGAGGCTATTTTGTACTGACTCTAGGCAAGATTCACAGCGCAGGTCTTTGGTAGGCCGGCCGCCATCCAAGACATTGACATGCATGTCCACTACAACGGAACTGACGACCAAGGGGACGCCGCACAGCGTGCTGGTGAAGACGACGAAACTCATAATAATGACGCGCAAATGCTTGTTGATCGGGAGATATATCAAGTGTATAAAGCTAAGCTTTATCAAATCGCAACGCCCCTTACTAGAGGCATGCAACCCTCCAAAGATCAAGCTACGAATGACTTAATTCAGCAAGTCCAGAATGTGCATCAACAGCTACTTGAATGGGAGAAGAGTCTACCGCCCAACCTGACGTTGCAGTCATTTGAGGGGACCCAGTTTAGCCACCCCAGAGATTCGCCTTTATCGACTCTGAACCTCCAAGCTCTGGCACTTCAAGTCTCCTACGACAATACGCAACTGCTGTTGCACCGACCTTTGGTTATTGGCAGGCACTTGGGCAAGCCAACAGGGACAGCTGCCGACCCAACCGACGAGGGCTTCATCTTGACATCACGGCGCCAATGCTGGTCATCTGCAATGCGCATATCACACCTTGTCAAGTACAAAGCGGCCCTCGAGTTCGCGAACAATACGCCAATGGGGGCACATATAGGTATTCACATCTTTACTGCTGGAGTTATGCTAGCTGTATTTGCACTTCTCAGTCCCATGTCGAATCAGGCCCAGGAGGCAAAACAGGGCCTAAGCCGGCTGCTCGAGATTCTTACCTCAAATCAGTCGTGGAATCCCGTCCTCAGCCAGAGTGCAGCCATCCTCAAGGATCTGTTGAGACTTATCATGGAGAAGGAGCTCAAGCTTTTGGTAGAGCCGAACCATGGCCGCGCCGGAAGCAAATTGTCCGAGGGAGATGCAACTGCCAGCCATGGTTTGCTCCAAACGAGCATGCCGGGGGACCAGCTCGGGTCTGGTCCTGGTCATCATAGTGCGGTAGCCCTATCCTCACCTCCCCCATTCTCCTCCCAACCTCATGATTTTGGGGACTGCTTTGCTTTCTTAGCGAACGGCTCATTTGATGAGGCAATGACGTCCTTTCAAGATGGTATGTACCTAAACTTGAGATTATATTTTGCCAACTTCTGCTTGGATGCGGATAGCTAACTCGTACCATGATTGGCGCAGTCTTCCTCGGCGATGGAACATCCATCCTAGGCCATGAGTCGAATTGCGAGGCTGATTCAACATGGAATAGTTAACGCAGTGCATGGTTCAGACAATACTAACAGAAATAGTTGGAACTTGCTAATATCCACGGCTTCAAAACTGGGAGGATATATTGTAAAGTTCTTGCCAGTTTGAACCTAGGTTTACAATAATCTCTCCGGAGCAAAATGAGCTACGCGTTATATTGAATTCAAGACACGAGCTACTAGATAGTAGCCATATATGTAGTTCTATAAGTGTTAAATGGATAGACTTCCGTCCTTTGAGGAGTAGGCTAAGTAATGTGGTGCGGTAGATCTATTAGGCGTGCCATGACACATCCTTGCACATGCCCAGACGCTCTGTCTCAGCATCACAAGAAAACAGGATCTCGGTCGTTGATAGGCTTGATAATCCGAGATGCAACAAGGTTGGCTTAGGATGAATTTCTTTAATTTAGTTGTCTATTATGAAATACATGTTTCCCCAGCTAGTGCATTCTTGAAGTAGCTTTAATATGTCGAAGGAGTTATAGACAATTTACCTCCATCTGTCACAACAACCATCCCTGAAAGCCACGAGCCTGCCTTTGAAGCGAGCCAGAGGATGCAGCCTGCAATATCTTGAGCGTTGCCATGTCTGCCAAGAGGCGAAACCTGGCTCGCATAGGCTTCCGGGTTCCGTTTCAAGTTCTCAGTCGCTTTCACGATTTCCTTTGTCATCTCGGATGGATACACTGCGAGCCTGTTAGTCCAACCGTTCGGCTGTAACACGTCGACTGTACTCACGGCCTGGCGCAATAACGTTGAATCGAATGTTGTGTCTAGTGAAAGCGGTGGCGAATTGCTTTGCCATATGTGTCACTCCAGCTTTGCTGGCCGAATAGGCGAAATGGGCCAGCGGCACACGACCGAAAGCTCCTATGGAGCCCGTGATGATCATCTGACTGCTTTGAGATACATTTCCCTTGGCATTGCCAGCACTGAGTAGCGGCAGAAATGCTGCGAAACTCAGGTATACGCCGCGGAGGTGGACCTGGAAGATACGATCGAATTGTTCCTCGTCGCTGTTCCAAAGATCCCTTTGGATATCTTCAAGTGTGGATGCTGGTGTGATCTTGATAGGGGTAGGCCCCGGAATACCGGCATTTGCACAAAGGAGATTAATGTAGCCTGTTTCCTTGGTAATAAGAGCGACGATACGCTCTAGGTCTTGCTTTGAGGTAACGTCGCCCTGTAAGGGGATTATATTTCCATGCTTCTGCCTCGGTTCTCAGTATTAGCAACACGGTCAGTTATTATACCTCAGTATCTTGATGTTCGTGTGGGTTCCTCCTCCATGTCGGTTTATTCTTTTTTGGTCCTTCTTTTTGGTCCTTCTTTCGAAAACTTACCGCCTCATCTTTGGCCATCTGCTCTACGGCATCTTTGTCGATCCCAACAACATAGACTTTCGCACCATTCTGCTCAAGTGCCTTGACCATCATCCGACCGATTCCTATGTGTGTCAAGTCGAGCTTAGCTTGTGCCATGTATAAGGCCTTGGGTACCTTCCACACATACCAGTTGCCCCCCCTGTGACAACAGCGACAAGGCCATTGACATTGAACAGATCCGCCGCAGCGAGGGAGAATTCAGCTTCGGAACCCATATTGATGTCAGTAATGGCAAATGGAATATTGAGGATTAGAAGCTGGTCATCTGGGTTTGGTAAGCTGCTTTATACGATGTCACTCCAAGGCCTGCCCCGAACCTCATTCCCAAGCACAAAGTGGAGACATGGCTGGCGTAGGTCATCATCAACTTTCCACCGGCTTTCTACGTTGAAGCTTCAGGGATTTCCCCCACATGCATGAGTTGCTCTGGCTGATCAACTTCCCACCGGCTTTGTTCTTAGTAATCGGGATTCGAGGATCTGTCCCCCTGGCCCCTGAAAAACCGGGCCTTCACACCTCGGAGATGACTGCGCCATCTATCCTTGACTGCTGTGATGAACTACATTTGTAATAGTTCCAAAGTTCCGACGGCATTTACAGTCAGTAGGTTGTTCATTACTTCATCCATTCGAATATTTGCTTATAAGAGCCAGTCGTAGAAAATTTGACCGCAACAAATCTCTGAAGAAGCCAAGTCTACCACGAAAATTTGCCTGTTATTTGACAAACTTTCCACTTACACTTTGTACCAACCTTCATCTACCTTCGCAATGGCATTATCACAGAGTCAGGCAGCATTCAATTTGCCCACCCCAAACCGCTTCATTACGGACCACAATTCCAAGGGTCTCGCTGTTTTCGACACCAGCGTCCCCGAAGTCCTCCCAACTGAAGCCGCTGGCCCCATGGCAAACCACTTCGCCTACGCTACGGAGACTTTTCCGGCTGATTTCACAAACAAATCTGACCTTGCCGCATATTCGTCTATGCTGTCTGCTCCCCCAGGAATCTTTATCGCCACTGGTTCTGTCCTACGTATTGTCGATATGCAGCCAGGTGGCGAGACTCCGCTCCACCAAACTGATAGTCTTGACTATGGTGTCGTACTTGAAGGAGAGGTGGAGTTGGAGTTGGATTCTGGGGAAACTAGGATCCTGAAGAGGGGCGACGTCTCCGTGCAAAGGGCAACGAATCATCTATGGAGGAACTTGAAGAAGACGGAGTCATCCCGTATGTTGTTTGTTTCTCTTGGTGCAAAGCCTGATGGGGTACTCGAGAAAAGTTGAGAGTAAAATTTCTGGTGTGGCTAGAATGCCTTTTTTCGTATATAGAGACGAGCTTCAGAATACAGCCGAAATGCTTCACACGTATGATGGCTTGTGGAGGTTGCAAAGTAGCAATACACAGTCTCTATAGAATACATTAATTACTGGAGTTTCTTTCTCTCCGAGAATACAATGAGTGTCCTAGATTCTGGCCTTAAATTGTGAATTATGACTTGAAGAGTGTCTGGTCGCGTTAAAGATAAGGGCAATCACCGCTAAGTGCCCAAGTATTCCAGACATCTGAGTGGCGGAGATTATGAATCACAAAGAGCGTCACTGTGAGCACAAGGCTGACCCAAAATCGGCCTGCCTGGACTTTGATAAACCCGTGGCGACCCCATATTTATCCACCGGAATTAGCATTACTATGTAGCCGAGCCGGTGTAAGTGTAAGCAAAAGAACATCCCTCAACTTGACCATATTGGTTCGAGTATCCACCATCAGACCAGTATTACCGAACAAAACTCTCTGCATGCTTGAAGAGGCAGGGATATTGCATGTACAGGTAATTCCGGACAATCGTCGGAGAGGGCATAAACCCGCGTTACTGTACAAACTATTAGGCTGCTTCTCAAAATAGCTACCTCGCTAGGTAGATGTAGGTGCCGTATAAAAGAGCCAATCAAGATTCAGTATGTTATTAAGCACCAATTGAAGTATGACCGTGGTAGACCGGCAATACGAGTTCATATAACCAAGTACAGAATCACAGAGTCTTTGACTTTGGACCATCCATGTCATCTTTTATTTCTCGTTTGCCTTGGTAGATTTCGTTGACCTGACCACTCTTACTGACCACAATGGCCGGCGTCACGTCTGTACCAGCTGACCATCAGGATGAATTGGCAGAAAAGGATCAGAAACGGCGACCTGGTCAGGGAGACGGAAGTAGTTCACAGGATATTCTCCCTACAGTGGCTGAAGGTGATCTCAGGAAATCTCATGACTTGGAAAAGCAACAGGAATCGCTCCCTGGTGAAGAATTCATGCCCCAAGATGTGGCGGACATGACGACCGAGCAAGTTTCCGACAAAGGCTTTGCACCGTGGATTTTTGGTAAGCTGGTTAAAAATTGCAAACGTAACCAGGGTTTCTAACTTTTTAGTGCTGAGTGCTCACCTCGCCATCATGGATAGTTGGTGAGTATGAGCATCTATCTAATACCTTAATCTTGAGCTAAAGCTCAGTCACGAGGGGCGTGGTCAACTCCTACGGTGTCTTTCTGTGGGTTGACTCGATAATACAGCTGTATGTAAAGCAAAGCAAGCAAATTGAAGCAAACGATTTATTGATGTCTAAGGAGAAAAGCTATCTGTTATGTGGTCTGACGGAAGGTTCGTCTAAGTAGGTTTGCGGGTTATCGATAAGTTGATAACCCGATAAGTCGTATCTATACAGGCAACTTTTTATTTTTCCTTCTATAGGAAGGAAACGATGATTTGATAACTAAATATAGATAATTGTAAATCGGCTAGTTACGGCTAGTCGTAAACACGTAAAGTTGTAAACTCAATAATCCGTAAACTGTATAATCGGATCTATGTGATCCGTCTAAAACCCCAGTAGGAATATATTCGTCGGACTATATTCATCCGTTAATCAGTCCCTTACAATCTAACCTTCTTTTTATATAATAATAGAGTTATTATTAATAAAGTATCTTAATAACTGGTTAGGTTTAGCCTTAGTAAAGCAGTTAGCTAGATTATTATCTCTATTAATCTAATAGATCTCTATTAACTCTTAGTATTTATAGGATTACCAGAGAGCTATAATATTAATTATTAGTCTCTTTTTCTTTATAGTTCCTAGTTTAATAAGATACTTATAGAGGGAGTATAAGTTAGTATAAATAATAAATAGAATAAGTAGAAGTAAAAGTCTATTAGTAATTATCTAAAGGGTAGTTAAGATTATATATATAATATTAACTTCTAATACTATACTATATACTTCTAAAGTAAGAATACTATATATAACTTATTTATACTTTATAGAGCTATAGTATATAATATTTCCAGTTAGTTAGAAAGATAAGTTATTATAGATATTATTAGAATATTTATTTACTAATATAATAATAAATCTAAGTTATAATATTAAGTTAGTATTATTTATAAATAATCTATTAATAAAAATAAATAGTTTAATAGTTTATAGGTTAAGAGGAATAAAGTTTAACTCTTAGTTAAGATTATCTATCTACTATTTAATATAATAATTTAGTAATTTAAATTAAATCTTTATTAGTTATTAGAATTAAATAGTAATAAAGAGATTAAAATAAGCCTTTAGTTAGTAGATAGATATAATATATACTTCTTAGATATATTACTTAATATATCTCTACTTAGTAATCTATTTATTAGTATTATAATTAATTAATTATAACTTCTTTTCTTATTCTTTTTACTATAGTTAGATAATACTATTATAATTAAACTTAATAACTCTACTATTAAAGATAATTAATATATTAATTATTAGATACTACTTTAGTTTAGTAGTAAACTAAGCTTTAATAAGTTATTTCTCTTCCAGATTATTAAAGA